TATTTATGTGGTGAATTACGTTTATAGACTTGTGTATGTTGAACCAGCCTTGCATCCCTGGGATGAAGCCTACTTGATCATGGTGGATAAGCTTTTTGATGTGCTGTTGCAATTGGTTAGCCAGTATTTTATTGAAGATTTTTGCATCTATGTTTATTATGGATGTTGGCCTGAAGTTTTCTTTTCTTGCGAGTCTCTGCTGGGTTTTGGTATCAGGATGATGTTGGTCTCATAGAATGATTTGGAAGGATTCCCTCTTTTTGGAGTGTTTGGAATAGTTTCAGAAGGAATGGTACCAGCTCCTCTTTGTATGTCTGGCAGAATTCGGCTGTGAACCCATCTGGACCTGGGCTTTTTTTGGTTGGTAGTGTATTAATTGCTGCCTCACCTTCAGCAAGGAAAGATCTAAAATTGACACTGTATCATCAAAATTGAAAGAGCTAGAGGAGCAAGATCAAAAAAACTCAAAACCTAGCAGAAGACAAGAAATAACTAAGATCAGAGCAGAATTGAAAGAGATAGAGACACAAAAAACCCTTCAAAAAATCAATAAATCCAGGAGCTGGTTTTTCAAAAAGATCAACAAAATAGACCACTAGCCAGATTAATAAAAAAGAAAAGAGAGAATAATAAACGATGCAATAAAAAATGATAAATGAGATATCACCACAGATTCCACAGAAATACAAACCAGCATCAGAGATTACTACAAATTGTGTATTCTACAGGTACTATTTGGCTGACTAAACATCCCTACTAATAGCACTGATGCAAAAGATTATTAATGTTGGGTAGATAGCTTACTACACAGTAGTAGGTTTGAGAAACTTAACTTTGTTTTGTTTCTTAAAGTCTTAGTTTGATAACAATTCAACGTAACATTAGCTGTTTGGTACAAGAGTTCTCCACTCTGGCAGTTGAAAGAAGACTCAGCCCTCACAGCAGTCCCAGCTCTACCACTTGCATTCCTAGGTCTAGCGCAATGAGACAGAGCACTTGCACAAGTCAACTAAGCAATTTGATTACTCATAGACAGCCAGCAAGGATCCCCAGAAATCTAGGATCATGGGGAGGTGGTCCCCCAAGGATAAGGAAAGCTTCCCAGGGTGGATGGAGTCTCATCTGCATGTGCTCCACTTCACAACACAGCTGAGGGACCCCAAAAGCACTCCACTCAGGGTTTGGTACCACTGGGGGCCACTTGGCTCATGTTGCAGAGCACCCTGTTCTAGGAGGAACAGCCTGTTTCAGGATGAGGACAAAGCCCAAGCTGTTCCAGACAGTTCCTTCTTGTCTCAGAATATTGTATTCTCAGCACATTCTGGAGTTATTCTGAAAACCATAGAAGGAGGGATGTAGACTTGGGCTGGCCAAGGCCATTAGGGACCTGCTTTTCTGCAGCTTGCCCTGGCCTGAAATCAGGACAGCTCTGTAAGACTGGTTTCTTTTATGGCAAGGAATGGCCTGAACACAGAATCCTCTATGTAACTGGAATGATGCCTACCTAGTTGGATAAAAACATAATCCTCCAAATAAGATGGCTATTAAGCTTTAGGTTGAACTCTTGAAGAAATTATCATTAGTTTTTATTTCTATTTTTTTATGTTATATTGTTATTGATAATGAATTTATTGTTTCATATAGTTGAGATCACCTCAGAGACTTCATTGACCACAACCCCTGTGTCCTCCACACCTTCATCAACAGGTATGAAAAAACTTGCCTGAGAAACCAGGAGATATGGATGCTGAGGTTCCCAGCATCAGCCCAAGCTAGGTGGAAAGGCATAGGGTCACTTTGGGAGGTAGCTACATATAATAGAAAGAGCTGTAAATTTTTTCACTTTCGAAGTATATGATCTTGGGCAATTTAGGTGTTCTACTTGAGTCAGTTTTCTTTTCTAAATCTGGTGCAATATCCCTTTTCAGAATGGTGGTTGAATACCTTAAAAATGAGAGAACTAATTAATATACAAGAAGTGAATGGTTGAATTCTAGATACACGTTTATATTTAGCTTTCTCCATTATCATAAATTCACGAATTATAGTTGTGAGAGTCGATGTATTAGAAAATCTTAATGCTAATATGGTTATGAACATTCTGGATATCAGGACATAACTATTATCTGTAAACATGCAGTTAAGCCTCTTATGTGTTGCCATAAATCTATTGGTATTTTACATATCTCCATCCCTGAGTTTCATACAATAAAATTACTTTATGAGGCCAGGTGTGATGGCTCAGGCCTGTAATCCCACCACTTTAGGAGGCCAAAGCAGGCGAATCACAAGGTCAGAATTTTGAAACCAGCCTGAGCAACATGATGAAACTCTGTCTCTATTAAAATACAAAAAAATTACCTGGGCATGGTGGCACACACCTGTAATCCCAGCAACTCAGGAGGCTGAGGCAGGAAAATCGCTTGAACCCAGGAGGCAGAGGTTGCAGTGAGCTGATCTCACGCCATTTTACTCCAGCCTAGACAACAGAGAGAGAGTCCATCTCAAAAAAAAAAACAAACGAACGACAACAAAAAAAAAACTTTATGAATAATATGGCCTTGTATGGGATCCTTCCAGAAACTTCTAATATAGAATGGATCCTTCTAAACACCATGGATCCTTTCAGAAACTTCTAATATAGAATTCAAGATAAAACTACCTTTTTCTGAGGGGAGGTTTATAACAAAGATTGGTCATTTGAAACTGAAGGTGATTATGCTTGCTGTCCTGTCCATATGTGCAACACAAGTTTATGTGATAAACAGACTCACATCCAAAAAGGATGAGAGAAATGTCTCTGCTATCAGAGCCAGCCCCATTACTTCTCTTTGTGCCTCCCCAGGAGCCTGGATGGAGGTGAGGCTGCTGAATGGCACAGGAAGGTGCTCAGGCCGCGTGGAGGTTCTTGTCCAGGGCACATGGAGGACCGTGTGTGACGACCTCTGGGACCTGGCCGAGGCCACAGTTGTGTGCCGCCAGCTACAGTGTGGACAGGCTGTGGCAGCCCCGACAGGGTCTCACTTCGGGGCAGGCTCTGGGAAAATCCTGCTGGATGACATGCAGTGTGTGGGCAGTGAGAGCCACCTGGGGCAGTGCGTGCATGGGGACCAGGCTGGGCACAACTGTGGGCACCTGGAGGATGCCAGTGTCATCTGTGCAGGTGAGGGCTGTTACCTCCCAGGACTTCACTATTGTCACAGGCAGCCAACACTAATAGAAGCCACTGGACAATGCATTATAAATAACCTTATAGACTTTGATCTCTTGATTAGGTGCTGATGGTTCTCCAGCCCCCTCCCCCACCACAGGGGCTCAAGTGGCTTCTACATTGGACATGCTCCCAGGTGGGTCTAATCTTTGGGTAGTTTGCTTTGAGTATACTTTTCTTTCCACAAGTCATTTTGTTAAGTCATGGTAGAGCTCCTTCAGGGCTAGAGAAAAAGTCCCCTAGTCCTCTTCCATTTCACAGTCAGAGGGTTCTGTTCATGACAAGTCTGGAGATAAGAATAAACAAAAAATGGAGATGTTTAGGCAACGGAATATTTGTTGCATCAAATAAATCCCATTAGAATGTCTCAATGTTTTTTTGCCAAAAGTTGTTGTTAGAAAATACCAATTGTTTCCAAATAATTCATGAGCTGTAATCTAATTCATGAAACCCTAGGACTGTCTGCACTGGTATGAGGCTGTTACCTCTCCTGGATGTCACTCCTTTGATATCTTTTCAGAAATATTCAACTCATATTCTCAGACGTCATTGAGCATAATATTGTAATAGCACTGTAGACCACAGCATGTTGATTTATTTGATCATCAGGTGCTGTCAATTCACTGGGTCCCACTCCAACCACAGAACCTGAAGCTGCCACCCCATCATACGCACCATCAGGTTGGTCCAATCTTTTCTTGGTTCTTTTGCATTGTTGCTTTTCCTCCATAGAATGTCTCTTTCTTAAGCCAAGATTGCAGGGCCTTTGCACCACATAACTTCCAGGGCTCCACCTTGCTAGAATGTATTGTGCATTGCATCCTCATGCGCATGAGGGAATGGTGGTCCCTGGAGTCATATAGCTAGGTGATCCTACATTGTTGAGTCACTCTAGGATTAAGAGAGTTAACAATCATTCCACATTACAGCACACCATACAGAGGGACACAGAGCAGAAAGGAAACAAGCTTCTCATTCATTCCATCATCTGGATTTCTTAAATAATTCCTGAACTTGCCCAAACTATGCCTGCACATTGGAAATTTTAGTTGTCTCCAAATGGTTTAGGAGCTCAGTCAATTTAAACAAAATCAGGATTGAATTGATATCCTCCAAGATACATGTATAGTGATCAGAATAGGTATTAAAAACTGCTTATAGCTTTAAAATGCTAAATATTTGCATTGTTATTATGTAGCATCCTCTTAATTTTGAGAATCTGAAAAAAGCAGAAATAAGTAGTTGGAAGAGGATGCAGGAAACATAAAAAACACTCTTCCTCCCTCTGTAGATATTTGATAGGAGAGCAATGAAGCCCCTTCCCTTCAGTACATGATAACATGGACAACAGAACAGAACAATGATTAGTGAAATTCCCATGGTGGGGGCCACACACTCACAGTAGCACCTTCTTTGCCCAGACTGGAGCTGACCGCCAGCTGCTTCACTTTCAGGAAAACAACTCTGTATATTTTTTTCTTTTTCTTTTTTTTTTTTTTTTTTGAGACAGAGTCTCACTCTGTCACCCAGGCTGGAGTGCAATGGTGTGATCTTGGCTCACTGCAACCTCCGCCTCCCAGGTTCAAGCAATTATCCTGCCTCAACTTCTCAAGTAGCTGGGATTACAGGCACCTGCCACCATGCCTGGATAATTTTTATATTTTTAGTAGAGGCAAGGTTTCATCATGTTGGCCAGGCTGGTCTCGAACTCCTGACCTCAGGTGATCTGCCTACCTCGGCCTCCCATAGTGCTGGATTACAGGCATGACCCATCAAGCCCTACCAATTCTGTACATTTCTGACATATTAAGATTGATTTTACATTGTATTATATGACCAACTGAAAAAAAGAAACATATGGTTATTTCTTTTTCTACTCCAACTGACTTTAAACAGCCAGTTTGATGATTTAACTACCTTTGGAGGCCTGCTCCCAAACTATTTTAAATAATCACAGTAATGAAGAGAGTATTCAGTAGTTTTGATTTACATACATATATAAAGACTATTATGAAAAGTATCAAACTCACTGACAAATGCTGAGAATAGTACAGTGAGCCCTAGGATACCAACTATCAAGTTTTGTGAAATCCTAATATTTGCCCTAATTGTTTGAGAGCCTTTTTAAAAGGAAACAACAAATACCTGATTGCTATTTAGGAGTTAATATGACAAAAAGGGCTGCCTTAATGCCCCATGTGGCTTAGCTCCTCAGAGCCCAGGTACAGCCACCAAAGATCCAGATGGAAACCAAAACATTCAGTCATTTCATTGACTGCCATGTCCATGTATTGCTCCAAAAAGAAGAAGAGGAAACCATCCACAGACGGTTTTGTGAGCACTTCACAGGCTAGAGTGTACAGCCCAACGGTGTGTCCTCAAAGTATTGGCACTTTTCATTTCACTGTGGCAACTGATATCTAATGTTGAATGAGGTGGCAGGGAAGGAGATATGGGAGCCACCAAAACCCTGACAGACACACTGGAACCAGCAGTTCTCTTGGGCTTATAGTCAGAAGTTCACATTCTCCTGTGTAGCCATGAGGAATCTAGCAGTGAAGGAGGCCTCTCTTTGTTTTGCATTCACAGGTCAAGCACTGTCATTAGCTGTGCCTACCTCAGAGCCCACTGTGCTTCCCCCAACTCCTCCTCCAACAGGTCAGTTAGCATTCGTTTTATGGGGAAAAGGAACCATGTGCCCAGCACTGGGCCAGTGCCTTCCCAGACCTAAAGCCACGCTAAGTGCTAACCATACTCCTGCAAATTTTCCTTGCCTCTGGAGGAGATGAGTCAGAAATTGATGCTACATATTTGACTGTGACCTTCAGGTCATGTCTATTTTCAAACTTTTATCTTTCTCAGGTTGGGTTTAGGGAATGTCCTAACTATTAGGGCTGTCTCTCTTTGTGCCTGTGACAGGTGCTGGATTATCTGCAACCACAGCCATAACAGAGCCTGCAGCCCTGCCATCCACAGCCATGCCTCTGGCAGGTAAGTGCTTGGGAGCCACCACTGGAAGGAGCTCACATTTATGAAACAACCATAATGTGATAAGCAGAGAATCAGATGCTGTCACTAATCTATGCTCACAACCACCTACAAGTGTTATCCTACCCCTCCCCCAACCTCACTGTTTCATAAAATGAGACACAGAAAATTTTCCTAGCATCACCCAACTAGAATGTGCCAGAGCCAAGATTTGGGCACAAATGTCGGACTCCAAACCCATGTGACTCTGCTTAGCCAGCTGCCTTTGATGGTAGGACAGTATTCTCCAAAGCTACCTTTGGGCTATTGGGAAGAGAACATGCTTACAAGCCTAATTGCTATGTCCCAGGTACATCAAGACTATAACCAAGAAATCAGGGAGTCAGCTGTGAGTGGTCACCTACTCTAATGCTTTTAATATAAAATTCCTAATTTATATTTTTCCCTATGACAGTTAGGCAAGATTTATCCTTTTAGTTTACCTGATACTGTATATCAGGTATGAACACAAATCCCAGTATCTTCCTTTCTCACCGGGGTGGAACTGCCTGTACATCTGTTTTACAAAGAAAGAAAGCTCGTTGTAGCATTCTGACACTTTAATGCTGGTTCTGCAGTAACTCACATCAGTAGTAACTCAATGTGTCTAGGTCAAGCCTAATGGTGTGCGTGCATGTCTGCGTTTTGAATAAATACTACAGTGGCAGTTTAAGGCTGTGTAGATGCGCTAAACTAGATTTACAGTCATTCTGCTCCCTCCTCAAAAAACATCACACAGCAGGCAGAGGTCTCTCATCTGTTTCAGGCCTCCACTTGGGCCACTTTTTGACATTCTGAGCCCCTAGAAACTTTTGCCTACAGGGACCCCTACCTCCATAAAAAAAGTATATTTATATACACACAGATATGTATGTATATGTTCTATTTTGTGGTTGTGTTTATATAAAGACTATATTATAGTCATTTCTTCTGATTTTAAAACAAATGAAGACATGTTTGGGGGCCCTTAAAGATCACATGGACCCCAGGCACTGTGCCTGCCATGTCTGATGGAGGTGCCTCTATCCTGCTCTTCTGAATTCTTCCAAGTAATGAACACATGCAGACCCACTGGACTTCAGCACCGCCAGGACTTTTCGGGAGAAAGAACATAATGCATTTGCCCACCATGAGACTGCTTCAAATCAGGGCATAGGGGAGGATTCTGACTTACCTCATAACCACCTTGGGGGCAGAACGGATGGACTGTGGTGAGAGCTGTGCTAACCCTATGCCCTCCTAGGAGCTGAGACGTAGTAGGCAGTCTGCCCTGTTGTCAGTAGTGCTGCAGAGTGAGCTGGCCCCATTTTTTGGACACAGGTTGCTTGCAGGATCTTTGTTGAGAAAAGACGTTCATCTGGATTTTTTTTTTTTTAATTGAGATGGAGTCTCGCTCTGTCACTGAGGTTAGAGTGCAGTAGCACAGTCTCAGCTCACTGCAACCTCCACCTCCCGGGTTCAAGTGATTCTCCTGCCTCAGCCTCTCGAGTAGCTGGGATTACAGGTGTGTGCCACCATGCCTGGCCAATTTTTTGTATTTTCAGTAGAGACTAGGTTTCGCCATCTTGGCCAGGCTGGTCTCAAACTCCTGACCTCGTGATCCACCTGCCTCGGCCTCCCAAAGTGCTGGGATTACAGGTGTGAGCCACCGTGCCCAGCCAAGAGGTTCATCTTTTATGCATAGTTCCTGACAGGGTTGAGTTGAGAACAGGAGGTCATGGTCATGCTGGATAATGTGAGCAGGAGTGGGTTGTTTGTGAAATGGAGGCTGCAAGCCCAGAACAATTTGAGCCTTTAAAGGGGTGATTGACCTAGAATCCCAGGAAATTTTCCTCACCTTCTCTTCTGAGCATGATCTACTTACAATTATCATCACAACTCACATTTCCACTACATTTTTTCCTCACATATATTTTCTAACAACCCATATGTTAGACATGAGAAATATTTCTGCATTGGATAATTGACGTTAGGTGATAGTGTATTGTATTTCACTGCTGCTCCTATTTTGTAAGCTAGAGCGCTGTTAATATAATGAGACACAGACTCTCAAACTTTTTGTTTAAGAAATCTAACAGAGTAGTAGGTCTATATTTTACTCTTCCTGTTGGCTTAAGAAAGAAACCTCACCAGTGTTTCTAGAAAGTTCTAGAACACATAATGTCAATATAAGTATCATGATCAGGGCAACAAATTACTAAATAAAACAACCATCAGAATTCCAGATTTTTTTAGAGGTTTAATGATTACATTCACTAGACAGAGAAATAATTCTCCTTTGTTTTCTCCATTCTATCACTGATTAAAGCCCTTAAGGTGAAAACTCTTTTTTTATAGAGCCTTGCACATAATAGGCATTAAGTGAATATTCTGTGGTTTAAAGTATAACTGTGTTGGCAGCAAAGAAAAGAATGTCTTTAATGCTAGAAAGAATGCTCTATAATCTCCAGTCTGTCATGGGACACTCTCCCATACCGAGGCGACTTCCACAGAAAGACTAGCCAGCATCCATTGGGACATGGCTGGGAGGACCCCCCAGGTCAGGGGTCCTCTGGAGTTCTTGTGCCACGTGTGGGCTGAAGGGACATGTGTAAGTTGGGAGCCCAGGGATCTGGTGTTATCTCTCTAGAAGTCTGATGCAGCTGCTCACCAGGGTCTTCTGGCCTCCTTGAGGTACTTCCAGGAAGTAGGAGTTCTAACTCACATTTTCCAAGACCCATAGAACCTTCTATCTGCCGAACCGAGAGGAAATACCTTTTTAGTTACACATAAAGTTACAATAAGCACTTCTCTCCCTCAAACCTTCTTTTCTTCCTTGATCTCAGGTCTTTGAAAACCAAAGCCAGAGCATCCTACAGTCTCTATCAGCTCTCTACTCTGCATGTAACCTGACCCAGGCAAGAGGCACAGGGCTCAGCTTCAGAGAGGGAAGGAGAAGGGTAACTTCAGAGTGGAAAATACATATAACAAAGTTCACTGGCCTTAGAAAGTCACATGGAATATTAACCAATCTACCCAGTTCCAATTCACATTGCCACTTTGACCCTGAAAAAGTTAACTTGGACTTTCTGAGTCTCACTTTCTTCTTGTGCAAAACAGCGGTAATAATAGACCCAACAAGAGAGATGTAATGGTCAAATAAGATCAAGCTTGTAAAGTATTTAGGATGGGACCTGCTATTGGTAATGACCACGAAATGTGAGTGGTAGAAATTATTATTATTATTGTTACTATTACTCTTCCTATGAAATAATATCATATGAAGATACAAGTATTATGACATCAGCAGTATATCAGCCCAACATAAAGGCCACTCTCCAGTGCCCCTCCCTCTTGTGCCTCCCTAGGAGCCTGGATGGAGGTGAGGCTGCTGAATGGCACAGGGAGGTGCTCAGGCCATGTGGAGGTTCTCATCCAGGGCACATGGGGGACTGTATGTGATGACCTCTGAGACCTGGCCAAGGCTGCCATTGTGTACCGCCAGCTGCAGTGTGGCCAGGCCGTGGCAGCCCCCTTGGGGGCCCACTTTGGGGCAGGCTCTGGGAAGATCTTACTGGATGACGTACAGTGTGTGGGCAGTGAGAGCCACCTGGGGCAGTGTATGCATGGGGACCAGGCCAGGCACAACTGTGGGCACCTGGAGGATGCCAGTGTCATCTGCAAAGGTAAGGGGCTATTTCCTTAAAAAGAAGTAATTTCTTGGTTTTCCCTTTGAATAATACTCAGTGATTGATTTTACTAAGTATTATATTACAAATAGCACTGTAAATGTTAGCATGTTGATTTCTTTTGATCATCAGGTGCTGGCAATTCACCAGGTCCCACTCCATTCACAGAACCTGAAGCTGTCACTTCATCATACACACCATTGGGTTGGTTCAATTTGCTTTGTAGCTTTTCCTCCATAGAATGTCTCTTGCATAAGCCAAGACAGCACAGACTTTCCATTGCACAATTCCCAGGACCCTATCTTCCTAGAATACATTGTGCATTTCATCCTCATGCAGGTGGTCACATGTCATATGCAAATGGTGGTCTCTAAGGTCTTACAGCTTGGTGGTCCTACATGGTTGAGTCACTCCAGGGTTGGAAGATTTAACAATTATTTCACCTCACACTACACCATAGAGAGGGGCACACAGCAAAAGGGAAAGAAGACTCAAGGGGGAAGGGAAGTATGAGAAATCGATTCTCATCTGTCACCTAGACTTAAAAATTCCTGAACTTGCCTGACAATAGATACATTGGAAATGCTTAGTCATCTCTAAATGGTTCAGGGGCTTAGTCATTGAAATAATGTCGGTTAAACTTGAATCCATATCTCTCTAATGCACACATGCTGGTCCAAACAAGTTAGTTTTATAGATTTGCTAGTCAGTGGACACTCATATTCTCATTATGATGCATATTCTTAATTTCAAGAGTCTAAAAATGGGGTGATTCTCTAATATATCATTGGAAGAGAACACAGAGCTTGAAAGAACAGACTATTTCTCCTTCTCTATACGTTTGATAGGAGAGTGGTAAGACCAGTCCTCATGCAAGATGGAAACAGAAAGAAGATGAGAGAAATCCCATTGATGAGGTGGCACACAAACTCACATATGAAACATAGATAAAGGAGTCAATTCATTAGTAGAAATTCTATCTAGGACATTGCAACCCTAAATGTTTATTCACCTTAAAACACAACTTCAAAATACATGAAGCATAAACTAATAGAATGACAAGGGGGCATAAATATTTTTTTATTCTTGGAAATAGAATCCACTTTTTCTCTTATTAGCAGACACACCACATTTTGATTACTGCTAGAATGGTGTTACTTTTAACCTATCTGGATCTATTTATTTATTTATTGAGATGGAGTCTCGCTCTGTTGCCCAGACTAGAGTGCAGTGGTGTGATCTCAACTCACTGCAACCTCTGCTTCTTGGGTGCAAGCAATTCTTCTGCTTCAGCCTCCTGAGTAGCTGGGATTATAGGTGCACACCACCACACCTGGCTAATTTTTTGTATTTTTAGTAGAGATGGGGTTTTGCCATGTTGGCCAGGCTGATCTCATACTCCTGGCTCCAAGTGGTCTACCTACTTCAGCCTCCTAAAGTGCTGTAATTACAAGCATGAGCCACTGTGCCCAGCTGTGTGTTTAAATTTAAAGTGGAGTTCTTTTAGGTAGCATATACTTGGGTTTTGGTTCTTTAAAATCCTGTTTGAAAATCTCTGCCTTTTATTTGAGGTGTTTAGACCATTTGTATTTAATATGATGACTGACAAATACAGCTTACTAGTTATTCATTGCTATATAACAAATTACCCAAAATTTTGCATTTTAAAATGACAGATATTTATTAGCTCGGTTTCTGTAAGTCACATACCTTATTAGCTTAGCTGGGTGGTCCTGACTCAGGGTCTTTCATGAGGTTATAGTCAAGCAGTCAACCAGGGGTACAGTCAAGAATCACACAGGGCTTTTTTCTGAGTTCACTTACATGATTTATTGGTGTCTTTTATTCCTCATGTGCTCTTTTACTTAGGACTTGAGTTTTTTGTTGGCTTCTAACTGTAGGCTTCCCTCAATTCCTTGCCACTTCCACCATAGCAAGTGATGAGAGAGAGACAGAGAGAGTGCTCAAGACAGAATCCACAGTCTTTTATAATTCAGTCTCAGAAGTGACATCATTACTTTTGCTGTATACTATTGCCCAAAAGTGAGTTTTTAAGTCCCATCCAAAACATAGGGAGGGAAATCAAATCCTACCTTTCAAAGGAAGAAGTATCAAATAATTTGTGAGTATGTTTTTAAAATCGCCACTGTTAAGTTTAAATCTACCATTTTGATAATTATTTAAATTTACTATTTTGCTAATTGTTTTCTATTCGTTCCACCTGTTCTTTTTTACGATGTTTTTGTCTTCTCTTTATCTGGAATTTATTTTTCCATTATGTCTACCTTTTTTTGTCTACTCGGTATAACTGTTTTTAAGTGGTTACTTTAGGATTCAAAATAAGCGTCTTTTCTATGTGGCATCCTTTTTCTTCTGACCGAAAAACTACCTTTAACACATCCTAAGGTCTATTGATGACAAATTATTTCACCTTTTCTGTGCCTGAAAGCATCTTTATGTCATAATCATTTTTAAAAGATCATTTTCCTGGGTATAGAAATCTAGGTTGACCTTTTTGTTTCAATGTTTTAAAGATGTTATTTTGCTGTTGTCAGAATTTCATTCTTTCTGTCAAGCAGTATATTGTCATTATCACCTTTTCCCTCTGTATACAATGTTTCATTTCCAGCTGCTTTTAAGATATGCTATTTATCATGAATTCTAATGTATTTGATTATATCATACCTTGGGATAGTTTTCTTCATGTTTCTTCTGGTTGAAGTTCATTGAGTTTCATGAATCTGTGGTTCACAGTTTTTACAAATTTAGGAGTTTATCTCTTCAAATATTTTGTTTCCATCTTTTCTCCTCTCCCTTATGGACTCCAATTAAATATAGGTTACTTGAAGTTGTCTCACAATTCACTGATGCTCTACTCATTTTTTTTAGTCTTTTTCACCATGGCATTTAGCTTTGGGTATGTCTTCAAGTTCACTTATTTTTTTCTCTGCAATATCTAATCTGCTGTTAATCATATCCAGTGTATTTCTCATCTCAGGCATTATTGTTTTCTTCTTGAGAAGTTTAATTTGCATCTTTTTTATATCTTACATATCCCTACTTTTCATGTTCCATCTTTCCTCTACCTTCTTGATTGTATGATATAATTATGGTTTTCATGCCCTAGTGTACAAATTATATTATTTTTACCATTTATTGGCCTCTTTACACAAATTTATTTTTCCCATTACGAGCCATAGTTTCCTGCTTCTTTACATCCTTGGCAATTTTATAGTGGATGCCAGATGTTGCCATTTACCATTTTGAGTACGAGTTATTGTTTATTCTCAATCTTACTTTAAATCACTCAAGTTACTTGGAAACAGTTTGATCCTTTTAAGCCTTGTGATTAAGTTTTGTTAGGTAGGAGTAGAAGGACATTTAGTATGGAGCTAATTTTCCCCACTACTAGACAATACCCTTCTGATTACCATACCTAATGCCTCATGGATTACCTGGTTTCACTTTGGCTAGTAGGAACAGGAACTATTCCAATCCCTGTGCAATCACCAAAGATTGTTCCCCCTACTCTTTTTAGGTAGTTCTTACCTTGGTCTTGGGCATTTTCTCCACATACGTCTGCTGATTAGTACTCAGATAAAAACTTGAGAGAGACTCTCTGAAAATCTTTGGAGCTCTCTCTGTGGACAGCCTCCAGTACTTCCCAGTGAACTCCAGCCACTTTGTTGTCCCTTAATTTTCAGATCCATCTTTTGAAGGAGTCTGCCAGGATCCACCTGGGTTCCCCTTCCCTCTGTTGTACACTGGAACTCTAATTAATAACCTAGGGTAATTATAGGATTCCCTATGTTTATTTACTCTTTCTTAGTGACTACTCTCCTGTGCTCCCTGTTGTCCAAGATTGGAAAGCCATAATTTAATGTATTTTGTCCAATTTCTTAGTTTTTCATGTAGGATGGTAAATCTGTACCCAATTATGGTAGTTTTCTATTGCTGCCGTAACGAACTGCCACAAACTTAGCAGCTCTAAACACCATCAATGTGTCATTTTTATAGTTCTATAAGTCATAAGTCCAGTGGGCTTAGCTGGTCTGTTTCAAGTCTTAAAAGGCAAAATCATGATGCCAGTAGAAATCTGAAGGAGAATCTATTTCCAGGATCATTGGGGTTGTTGGCATAATTCAGTTACAGACAGTTGTACAACTGCCTAGTCCCTGATTCCCTGCTGACTGCTGGGTAGGAGTTGCTCTCAGATTTTAGAAGCCACTCACATTCCCTAGCTCATAACCCCATCATCTTAAAGCTTGTACCAATGAGCCAAGTCATCCCATGCTTTAAATGTCTCCTGCCTCTTCTCCTGCTATACCTCTCTGATTTCAGTGAGAAAAGATTCTCTGCTTTTAAGAGCTCATGTGATTAGATTGGATGCACCCAGATAATCCAAGATAATCTCCCACTTTGTAATCTGTAACCTTAATCACAACTGTAAAGTCTCTTCTGCCTTATCATGTAACCTATTTGTAGATTCCAGTGATTAAAACGTAGACATCTTAAGGAAGTCAATATTTAACCTTCTATACCAGTTACCACAACTGAGATGGAAGTCAAAGTTAGATTATTATAAAATGTATTAAAAAACAATGAGAAATGTCAAGAGTAGTATACTGAACACTTGAGTACTCACTAGTAGATTCTATCAAATATTAATATTTTGTTATAATTATTTTAGATTTTTAGTAAAACAGTACAGTAATTGAATGATATTTTATGAGTTAATAGGATAGAAATGGAGACTGTCTTATTTTGTTATGTGAGCCTCCCGCAGTTTAAGCGACTAAGAGTCCAAATATATTCAGCAAAAAACTAGAAATAAGCCAAAAGCTTCAATCATTTAACTAAATATATCTGGTTTGTTCCTAAAAGAAATAGAAAATCCAGAATTTAATTTGTGGGTGTTTAAAGGGTTAGAATGTACTAATTGGAAGTTCTAAAAGTGCTGGATTTTCCATCCTATTATGCCCTAACTAGTGATAGATGAATGTGGTAGAGAAGGGAGAGTGAATGATCCCCCCTACTTGAACCTGCCCCTTGGGAAGCCAACCAAAACACTGACAGGACATATTTGAACCCAGACATTGCTTCTGGGCTTGTGGTCAGAAGTTGTTTTTTCCATGCGTAGCTAGGAGGTATCTAGCAGTGAACAAGGCCTCTCTTTGTTTTATACTTACAGGTCAAGCACTGTTATTAGCTGCGCCCACCACAAAGCCTGCTGTGCTTCTCTCAACCCTCTCTCTAACGGGTCAGTTGGCATTTGTTCTATGGGGTATGGGGAAAGGGAACCATGTTCCAAGCCCTGGGCTTGTTCCTTCCCATACCTGAAGCCACACTGAATGCTGACCACACTCCTGCTCTGAGAAGCTAAGTCAGGAGCTGATGCTGCATATTTGACTGTGTCTATTTTCAAAAATTCATCTTTCCAGAGTTGGGTTTAGAGGATGTTCTAACTATTAGGGATGCCTCTGTTTGTCCCTATGACAGGTGATGAATTATCTGCAACCATAGCCACAACAGAGGCTGTGACCCTGACATCCACACCCATGCCCCCAGCAGGTAAGTCTTTTGGAAAATGGGGGAAGGAGCTAACATTTATGAAACAACCATGAGGTCATAAGCAGAGAAGTAGATGCTTTCATGTAACCAACATCTCATTTTATGCTTACACAAATCTACAAGAAAAGTTACCTCTACTCCACCCTCATTTTTTATATAGAAAGACAGATAAAATTAATTTACCTAGAATTAATCGACTAGAAAATGGTAGAGTAAGGATTTGAGCACATACTCTTAGGTCCTAATCCCATATACCTCTACTTGGACAAACGCTTCTGAGGGAGAAAATATTAGAGGGAGAGAAACTTCTGGCAAACCTGATTGCTAAGACCTAAGACCCAGATACGTTAAGACCTCAATTTAGAAATTGTAAAGGCTGATGTCTTTCAAATTGTCTGTGTGTTGTCTTTTGTTTTCTCTGAAACCTTTTAGGACCTTTCTCTGTTCCTTGTGTTTTGAGTTTCCATGATGTTTTACCTTGGTCTGAGTCTTTTTTCACACATTATTCTACACACTCCACTTAAGCTTTTAGGCTAGAGATGCATATTCTTCCATTCTTGCAAATTTTCTTGAATTATTTGGTAGGACCAACTTCCCTTTGTTAACCAGATGAAACACTTGTGCATATTTTCTACTGATCTTAACCAAGAGCCAAAGACTTACTTCATCTTACAAGTCTTCTTTCTAGTTCATCTTGCAAGATGTCCAGATGACCTCCCTGAGGAAAGAAATGTACTCTGTGATTGGCTCCACAGAGCCTTCTTAACCTGTAGGCTCAAACTGTAGGGACTGGCATGCACAGCTTCTTACCAGCAAAGAGCAGCATCCAAGCTCCCTAAGTGGTGCAAGCCTGCAGGAAATTCCGTACACCAGGAAAGAAAATAAAACTCACCCTAAATATGTTAGTCCCCATCTGTATTAGGACTAGTTCCATTTTCTTGCCTTTTACTGTATATGTGGGTTGAAGGTATAGAAGAATGATCAATGTCACCTTTGTATGGCACCTGTAACACCTGAATTGCTAGCTTCCAATCAGCATAACCACACACAATTGAACCTAGTCAATTTAACAAGATAATACTCTGTGATTCGGGACACTTGATATTTACAAATTGTCTCCATACACATGATTTAATTTGATCCTAATAATATCCAGTGAAGTTGCCGACACAGAGGCTATCTCCATTTCTCAGATGATGAAACTAAGGCTTAAAGAAGCAAAAGAGCTTTATTTTTCTTACAACTTGCTTGCTGCGCTCCTTAAGAAAACATATTGACACATAGTAGGTGTTAAGTTAATGGTGCCAATGTTTACTCCAGTATTTCAAACATCCAGCTACCTGACATGAAATTGAAAAATGGGAAGTCGATACAAGCCATCCAACATTTATGCTTGATAATAAATCATCAGGCTGATTGCTGCCAGATTCTAAACCACATGTTCAAATAAGTGTGATATCAGTCTTCTGAGAAATGCCACACAGATAATGAAGTCAGTACTTCCTTTCATATTTTTTACCTGGGGACACTTTCTGTCCATAGTACTTCACTCCTGTGATAATTCAGCTAATAAACACCAAATGCAATGGTCCCTGATGTCTGTCTTTCTACAGAGTCAAACACGTATAAAGTTTAAATTTAGATGAATACTTAAGAATGTAGAGCAAAAATTCTGAGTTGAATTTCCTCCTTATTTCCATATTTTTACATTGGAAAGAAGACAAAATGGGCAATAAAAATGTTAGACTTCATACAGTTACCTTATTTTACCTGAATCTTTTTTCGGTAAGAAATAAGCTTCCAGAGGAAGTTTGATAAACTAAATTAAAAAAAAAAAAAAAAGAAAAGAAAGAAGGAAAGAAAGAAATGAGCTGGTTAGGGTTACGGTCTTCGAAGACATGTAGACCTCACTTCAAATCCCAGTTCAGACACTTCCAAGCAGTGAGCTTCTGGGCAAGCAACTCACTCTCCCTGAGTCTTTGTTTCTGTATTTATAAAATAGGAGGAAATAGTCCATCCCTCATTTGGTGGTCATGAAGTCAAAACGAGGTCACTCAGGCAGAGCATTTGACCTAGCACCTGGCAAAGAGATAGCATATGATAAATGCCATCTTAGCTACTGTCTTGTTTTGTCTCCATTACAGCTCCAGAGTCATTTGCTGCCCCTGGAGCAACAAAACCCACAATTCATGGTAAGCCCCTACTGCAAGGCACAGAAACACCTGGACTTAAAGTGCTAGAGCACTGGGCTGGAAGGACTTTCATGAACATCTGGCCCACCTCCTCTGACCTCACCCCAACCCCATGTCCCCAACATCAGTCCTGACCTGGACCCATCGAATGTCTGAGTTCTCTCTGCAATATCTGCCCAAGTCCCAGACTGTGAGACATCTGTATATTGCATTTGAATATTACTACTTAGCTAATTGAAATATCTAAAAGGATAGTTAGGGATTACATAGGGTACTGTATGTAAAGTTCTTAGCAACCAGTCCTCTGACTATCCTGGCATGTGTGTGCATATTCACACACATGCGCACACACACAGACACAATTATTACATTCACTGAGGTATTCAGGTTTTTACTATGGCCATGTAGTAAGCACTTACACATGTGCCAGGCACAGCGAGAGAACACAGAAAGAAGTCAGACGCAGGGGCAGCAGCAGCAGCAATGGCCCCTAACATTAACTGAGTACTTACTATGCACCAGGCACTGTGTCAAGCTTATAACATGCATTATCTCATTTGTTCCTCTTGGTTATTATTCCCGCTTTACAAGCTAGGCAGCTGAGGCTTAGGGAGCTTGTATAACTTGTCCTGTTCTAAGTCTACAAGTGATGCTCTTAACCACTCCACCTATTGGTCCCTGCCCCAAATATGTCTATTATCCAGTAAGGATGTCAAACACACACTTAGGCCACCACCGTCAATGTAGGTGATGGGAAGTGCCATGAAAGGCATACAGAACATAAAAGGGTGTATCGCTACTTCTGCCATATTCTATTGGCCAAAGCAAGTCAAATCTCAGGAGCCCAGAATCAAGGAGTGGGAAAATAAGTTCACCCTTTTCATAGGAGGGGCTGCAATGCAACATTGTTAAGAGCATAAGGAAGAGAAGAAGTTTGGCTGTTTTGGTAAACAATCTACCCGAGGCAAGCTGTCTTAAAATAGAGTGTGGATAAGGAAGACATTTATAGGCTTCTTGGGGCAGACAGGTCTGGGGAATGACATGGTATCTCTTGTGGCAGCATAACCATATGTGTAGCAAAGTCATGGGAGATAAGGAGAGCTGGGCTGGGTAGACGACAGTCCAGTCATCCACTGGCAGAGGGGCAGCTATCACCCTCTGCCTGCTTTGTTCTCCCCCAGGAGGCTGGGCCCCTGTGCGCCTGGTGAGCAGCCACGGAAGATGTGCGGGTCGTGTGGAACTTTTCTACCAGGGAGTCTGGGGGACCGTTTGTGATGACCTCTGGGACCTTCCAGAAGCAAACATCATCTGCAGGCAGCTGGAATGTGGCTGGGCCATTTCAGCCCCGGGTGAGGCCCACTTTGGGGAAGGTTCTGGGAGGATTCTCCTTGACAACGTACACTGCAGAGGAGACGAGCAGCACCTTGGGGAATGCTCCCATGTCGGCTGGTTTTCCCACAACTGTGTTCACGGGGAAGATGCCAGTGTGATCTGCTCAGGTAAACCCCTGCTCCCTTCCCTGGTGGGGCCCCCACTTCAGTTCATTTCAAGAGAATACTTCTCAAGGGACAGTGTAAAAATAACTATTGAAAATGAACCAGTGCTTGATTCACTCACCGCAGATGTCTTCATCTCTCACACTTACAGATGCTGAATATTCAACTGTCACGCCACCAGGTAGGGAAGGTGATGTTAATACATGCAGCTTATCAAAATCTCAGGGAAGAAGCTCTGCTAGAAATGGGATGTGTCTTGCTCTCCAAGCCGGGGGAGTGGCTGTGAGTTGTGGAATCCCCGGATTGTCCTGCAGGAGAGCTGGACAGTGCCTTAGAATCATCTAGTCCAGCCTCTCCTCCCACTCCACTGTGCATTTGGTATACCAGAAGTAGATTTTCATTTTCTCAGGTTTCTACACTTGATCTTAGCCAAAAGGCCAAGAAGTGATTATTTCTCAGACTTCTAGGTAATACTTTTGGTTTGCCAGCTCTGAGATTTGCAGAGGGGATGGCAATGAGAAATGGATGGGCGGGTGGCAGGCAGTTAAGATATGAGAGATGGTAAAAAGTACTTCCTGCCCAGTAGTAAATGGCTAGTGGACCTGGTCTGGGCAAAGTGAGCTGATTCCACTTCTACTCCCTCTTTGCCTCAGCCTTCCTGGTGCAGCTCTGGTCTCACAGAGCTTCCACTGCTGTTGGCTTTACCATGCACTCCCAACCCCAGCACCCAGAGTTTTCCATGCCAGTGCCCTCTCCCTCATCAGACCCCCTGGTCCTTTGATGCCCTGGTCTCAGCCAGCTCTCAGTCAGAGAGTGAGTTATGAACAAAGCTGATTTGATAGGGTCTGGAAAAGCTTCCTTCACATTTCTTCCTGGGTTGTCAGCTCTAGCAGGTGAGATGGAATTGGTCCAGGGAGAGGATCTCCAATGGGGGGTGGGTGCTGAGCTGAGTGCCGCTTACAGGAGAGATGTTGGGCCATGGAGGAGAATCCACAGCATCTTTAGGTCCTGACTCAGAGTCTTTGGGCAGCACCAGATCAGAAGAATCAGTGACTCAGTGCTTCTCCTTATTCTTACAGCACAACCTCGTAAGTCTCTACCCTTGAGTTGCCTGGGAAGAAGCTCCAGATGCCAGAATTTTATGTCTTCAGTTTTCTTAAACCTCAAATTTAAAAATCTCTTATTTGCACATATGCAAGAGAATAATGCATCAAAGTCTTGGAACAATATAGATCAGTGCTTCTTTCTTCTTCCACATTAAAATTGCCTCCACATTTAGGCCTCTCCTCCAGAGACTCTGATTCAGTAGATTTAGGGGTGACCCAGATAGTATATTTTTTGCAAGCTCCTCAGGACTCTCATGTGCAGACCTCAGTGCCGGGTGATGGCCATATACTGCTGACATTTTCATATTTTAAGTAAGTCCTAAGCATGTCCTTTATGTGTTTGACAGGTCACCCATTAGCTGCCCTGGCAAGGACAGTGGGCACAGGTAAGACTTTTGTGTCCTTTGCTACCTTGATCATCATCTTCTAGCTCTAGCCCTGATGTGATCCTTCAAGGAAATTGAGTCAAAGTTCTACTGCCCTGTCTGGGTCTCCCCTCTCAACCTGTGTTCTGGGAGACAAGCTGAGTAACAAATGCCAGTAAATTTATGGTTCTAATTCCACTTCTGTCTAGTAAAAGAACAAAGTCCAGATAATCAAGTGATGCTAGCTGTCTGGTCTCCCAGCATGGACACCATGAGTGAAGGGCAGACATGCAGCCATTAACAGAGCAATGTTTCCAGGGTGGTACCCAAGGCCATGATTTGAGAGGGCTCCCACCATGAGCACATTTTTCTTCACCTTTTCCCCTTCTCTGACAATCTCCATCCTCCTTCTATTCTTTCTTTTTCAACTGCCATTTTTTCCTCTGCTCTTGCTTATGTCTTGGGCCTTCAGAAATTCACTGAACTTTTTCTAGCGCCACTTGGGGACAAAGGGCTGAAATGCCACTGTTGCAAGGACAGCCTGGCTGGTCCTTTTACACACAGCTAGATGACCAGGGCCAATGGAGTTTAGGTCCAGTTCTTAAACATCCCGAAAATCTGATGGAGCCAGCTGTTTCTATTGCCACAGCATCACCTTTAATTCAAGATTGAATGTTGGACAGATGCATAGACAGAGAAGCAGAACAGACAGACAGTGGGTAGATAAACAAATTGTCACGTGGGCAGACAGGTAGATACAAAATCTTATCGGTATTAGGTGTATTCCAGGGGTGGCTGACTAAGGGCAACTTCTTTGTACTTAATAGTAAGTTTTTAAGAATGCAATTTGAATAAATTATAACTGATAGTGGATGGACTCTGTCTTCCACAGAGGCTCCACATTGGCTCAGGTTAATTGGGAAACTGAAGCAGTACTTTACTCATTACTACTAGTTACTGTACAAAAGTCAAAGCTACAGAGCCCACAACTAGGGGGTAACCAGAGAAAAACATTCTGGCTGATATTGCATAATAGCTTTTTCCAGCAAGCCCATGTAGATGGCAGAATTCTCAAAAGAGATGAGAGATGTTTTAAAATTCAAATGCACTTACCCTCTAATTTCTAAATCTGCAAGACTTTTTAGACTAGTTGATACTTCTGATGCATCCTAAGACATACTCACAAAGTAATAACAAATAAAATCTTCTTTGGAAATAGTTTTTTTTTTTTTTAAGAAAAGATGTGAATTAAGAAACAATTGAAATTCTAAAATATATTTCTACATTTAGAAAAATCTCGGTGTGGTGGCATTATTACTAACTCATCTGGAGCGATTAGGAATCCCCCACAGAATGAAATGCATGACAATATCACTTGCGTGTGGGAAATTAAGGCGAATGCATCTGATCATATACTGCTGGCATTTCCACATCTTGAGTAAGTCCTAAGCTGTTATGTACGTACTTAGCTACTTTGTGTAGCTTTTTGACTCTGATGTCTTGGGCTGCTTCCAGGGGCACATCTCATGCCAGCCTCCTCTTTCCCCTTCCATTTAAAATCCCGTTCCCTTAAAGCAATGGCTCTCAGAGGGAAAAGGTAGGATCAAAGGAACCCGTGCTATGTTTAAATGGCTGACAGGCTTTCACCCTTATCTCTAGCACCTTTATAGTAACAAAATGAAGCATCTGCCTCACAGCAGGCCTCTAAGGTCTTCTGATGAGGAAACTGAGAGGCATCCATGGTGTTTGCTTCCCCAGTCTCGACTGCACCAATGAGTATTTTGAAATCCTGGATGGTCCTCCATCCTCAACAAAGTCATTGGGAAAGACCTGCTCTGGCTTCCGCCCCACCTACGTCTCCTCCTCCAGCTCAATGACCCTCGTGTATTTCCGAAGCTTCAACAACCTAGGAAAAAACTTCATTGCTTATTATTATTCTGCAACCAAAGGTGAGAATAATGGTAAAGAGCAACAATTCTAGAGCTGGACTCTCTGCCTGGGTGTGAGTCACCATCCTATCACTTACCCTGTGACCTTGGGCAAGCAGCTTGACCTCTCCCAGCCTCCATTCCTTTCCTATGCAATGGGGACAACAAGGGACCCTGACTTTCTAGGTTTATTGTGAGGGTTGCATGCAATGAGGTAAGTTTAAAACTTCGCAAAGTGATGACACATCATAAATGCTTGATAATGGGTTGCTTTATTGTGAGCTTTTTCATTCTACATCAACATCTCGTCACAGTCAGCCCATTAGAAGGTTATTTCTGAAGTTACTCTGAATCTAGTACTAGGTAGGTGTTTTAGGACCTGCAGAAAAAGTTGTAGTCCCAGGATGTACAACCAAGAGGATGTTTAAGGCAAATACATGATAAGAGTAGAGGACAAATAGAAACCCTAGATGAAGGCAAACAATGGAACAGATAAATATACTAGAATATGCTAAATTGACATATGCATGCACCTCTGCAAAAGACATTAGGAAAGACAGAAAGTGCAATATAGGTTAAAAGTATTAAGGAAACATTGAGGGGAAATGGCCTCTAAAGCTGGCTGAGTTAAAGGTAGAGAAGGTAAGATAGCACATCAGGTGAGGGAACAGCATGGCCTAGAGATAGGAAATATAAAATGTGTGACAAGAAGGCAGGACCAAGACAAGGTTGCCTGTTGAAGTGCAAGGTACTCAGGGTTAGGCAATTATAACAACAACAGTGATCAAAATGCTCAAAATAGCAGCTAACATTTACTGAATCCCTATTGTATGCCAGGCAGCGTTTTAAGTACTTCATGTGTGTTATCCTCACACAGACCCATGGTTCTTCCCCTTTTACAGATGAGAAAACTGAGGCTTAGGAGGTTCAGTAATTACGTGAGGTCCTGCATGATTTACCACTAAGAGAAAACAGGCAGAGCTCATGAAACTGCAAATAACTAGTATCCGCTTTTTCCAAAACATTGTTCAAAACAATCTCTTGTATTTTACCAAGTGCCAGGGTGACTCACTGAGCAAGTTTTGAAAACATGCTGTAAAACACAAAGGAGATGCTCTGTGTGCCAAAGCAGACAATGAACAATCACCGTAATTGGCATTAAATGGCTATTGACGATGTATTTCCTTGTATTTGCAGAGGCAATGTTGCAGACCCCACATCTAATCAGTGAGTCATGTTCATGCTATTACTCAAATTTCACCCCTAATTTCTTCTTGTGTCCCCCTCCAAGTGCTTTTACCATCATTATTTGCTCTGTCTCTCATAGATGATCCTAGGTCCCTGTATAAATCTTCTGTAGATGAGAGATTCCATCTGCACTGTTTGTGTGCTAGTATGATGTCTATTTACACGCAAACCAAGTTATGCCTCCCAACAGTTGAGTCTCTGTATATTGATAATCGTTGGTTTTATTTCCCTTTTTGTTTCTATCAAAGCCAATGACTCACCTAATTAGATACTCCACTTTTAGAAAAAGTTAAAGCAGAAGCAAGCAGAAGAAACAGCTGTTTTTCCCAGAAGGACACTGATCATGAAGTTTACATGCTTGCATAGAATAGCATAATTTAAATACTTTTATATTTATGTTAACTGAGCAGAAAAAGAGAATATTATTTTTGTTGAATCACACACACCTGAGAAACATAAAGACGCACATGAAAACAGAGTTTGAGTTGGGAGGTCACATGTTACCAAGATTGCAAGGAAAAAGAATCAGCCAGAATCTTGGCATTTACTGAAGACTGATCTCAGAATGCTGCCCTCTTGACTTGCCCAAGTCATCCCTTCTTAATTAAAGAAGTCTCCTTGTATCCACAGCCACCCCAACAGCAACACCCAGGACAGTAATAGCAAGAGCAGGTAAGCTCTAAAATGCATTCATTCATTTACCAAGTGTCCTTTAGTCTTGGCACCTGCATTTGTATCTGCACCTGTATCTGCTTCATACACAGAAACTGGACCAACTACAAATAGTCCATCTATTTGCAAATGGGACACTTGACCCTGCCCAAACTTTTAGAGCCATTTAAAACTTTTGGGATCTTTTGGCTCTAGCATCCCAGGATGAGTAAAGTTCATTTTTTGCTAGCTTTCAGAGTCATCAAAGCCTGGGCAGCTTACAAATTCTCTCTAGAGGGGCTCTGTCTTTCCTCCTTATGACCAGTACTGATCATAGTTAGCTCCCCATCTGCATTACCAATAGACTTTTGCAAAGTAAGTGGAGTGTCAGAGTCATTCCAGAGACAGTGACATAGAATAGTAGAGAAAAAATTGTGAACTCTGGAATCAGGATACCTGACTTTAGATCTACTGCTTACCAGATGTGGGATTTGGGGTGAATCACTTTGCTTCTCCAACTTTCAGTTTCCTCACAGCTAAAATTGGTATACCAATACTCCTCTACTTACCTTCCTGAGTTATGATAAAGGTGGAAGTGAACACACACACACACACACACACACACACACATACTTTGTAAAAATCATAAATCATTGTGCAAATTATTTGTTTTTCTGAATTTAGCCAAAATAAATCGGCACATACCCCTGGAAAAATAAATACTCAATTAGTGGACTTTTTAGTGCTAGAGACAATCCTAATGACTTTGCAGCTTCCAACTAAGAGGTTGACTAGTTGATCAACTACAAAGTTCTCCACACGTAGAAGTAGTATGGGGTGGGGAGCTCAACACCCATGGGAAGGATACAGTGCCCCCAGAGAACAACAGTCACCAGATCTCTCTCTGCAGGGGATTGGCCAGAGCTGCGGCTGGTGGGTGGCTCTGGCCGGTGCTCAGGACGCGTGGAGATTCTCCACCAGGGCACCTGGGGCACTGTGTGTGATGACCTGTGGGACCTGAATGAAGCTGAGGTTGTGTGCCGGCAGCTTGGGTGTGGTCGAGCCATGTCTGCCCTTGGGAAGGCCCACTTTGGCCCCGGCTCAGGAGACATCTTCCTGGACAACCTCCAGTGCGCTGGTATGGAGCGCTACCTGGGCCAGTGCGCACACTCGGGCTGGTCAGAGCACAACTGTGGCCACCACGAGGATGCCAGTGTCATCTGCTCAGGTATCCTCTCCCCTCTAATATGCGCACTGCCAGTCCCAGCATGCTTCAAAACCTCCCTGCGAGGGTTCAGAGTCAGCCTGGGGCAAATACAGGATCCTCAAACATGTAGCATTTGATTTTTGCTATAGCCTTTCTAACTTGGTTAAATAGATGAGGTTTTATCTGCTAGCCTCCAGTATAAAACCTAATTTTCTAATTTGGTAGTAAGTATCACGAAAGGTATGTGTGCTTTACTGAAACATGCAAATAACATGTTTAATGATGAGAATTTTTTAATGATGGGAATAAGGAGCTCATTGAAAGAGGCACCCTGCAGTAGCAAGGCTAGGGGAGACCTCAGAGCCAGGAATACTTGAGTCTGGCTTCCAGAGCTGGTGCTGACACACAGACTGTGTGTGAGCAACTCTTCAACTCTCCCTTAAACATATTGGTAATTCTTACTACCATTTCCTCACTCAATCACAACACCAAGGAAATCTGTGCACTAACCTGACTGACTTCAATTGGCTTGTGACAATTTTTAAAATATATTCTGGATTTTCTTGTGTATCAACAGTTAGCTACCAGTAAGTTAGCCACCTCTGTAATGTCTATTAATAATCATTTCTGATCATGAGATACCTTTTGGTAAACTAACAGCTGTGATACCTGATATGACTTGAAAAAATTGGTAATCATAACTCAAATTAGGAGGGCTTAGAGTTGCATGGAGTTGCCCATGTGAGAAGCAGCTCAATTGCATATCAGTACCTGCTAACCATGACCTTTAATTTCAGGTGCATACTTAAAAACATTGTCTTATGTGTTGGTGCATTCATATGTCTGTTTGCTTTGTGACATCTTATCATGGTTGGCAGGTAACCTAGTGACAGCCTCATGGGTACATGTTATTCCCACATCTCAGTCTTCCAGAGGATGATTGTCTAAATCTGAGGTCCCCCCAAAGACACCCAAAGTGAAACTCACCCGCTACAAAATTGATGGTTTAAGTCAGATCATCCCAAATGTACCTTTGCATTTGGCCATTTTTTTATAACTCAGTACAAACCAACAACCAGACAGAAACTTATTTTCATTATCTACAGATGAATCTGCTTCTCCCAGTACTATGTTTTTTTTAAAAGGACTAATTTTTCCCACATCAGATTAATAAACACATATAATGATGGAACTAAAACCTTCATCTTCAGTTGTTAAAGTCAGGATTTCAAAAAAAAAAAATACTGACATACTTGTTCTCTCTATAAACAGATGCTGAAGAATCACTTGCTACCAGTCCAGGTCAGTCACACCTTTTGTTGATGGGAATTAAATATCAGCTATTCTTGATTTTGTCCTTGAGCTATTTGTTGTTTCAGTTCTAAGATCACGATCTTTAGCTAAACTGCAGGGATTTTCACACCACTGAGATTCTATTAGAAAGTCTTATTTAAAAATACTTTTGATTTTTTACATGTGATGATGGGTATATGTGTGTGTGTGTTTATGTGTTTGTTAAGTCAATATTTTTTGGAGATGCATGCAGAGTGAAATGGGTTTCATGGCCTTTTCACATATGCTATTCCTCTGGCTCAAGGCGCCTTCCCAGCTCTTCCCATGACTAGCTTGTTCTCACTTTTTTAAGGGGTGTCTCCCCAGCCCCTTCCTCTCTGTTGTCCCTTTCATAGCATCCTATTTCCCCACTTTGGTCCATTTATCATACTGTGCAATGATGCACTGTAGCAGTGTCTGCATTTGACTAGTACATAGACTCTGGGCTCCCTGAGGACAGAAATCACATCTCTGTTTTAGAGCTGTATCATCAGTGCCTAACATAAAAGATAAACTATACATACTTAAAATAAAATTAAATTGACTGAAGATCCCACAACCTGCAACTCAGGAACACATGAGAAATCTGAAGAACAAGCCTAAAGACTGGGGAATGTGGCAGTGGTGGACCTAGGTGGGGTTTTTTGGGAACTCACATACTGTGTCTCTGCCTACAGAGGACTGGCCAGAGCTACAGCTGATGGGCGGCTCAGGCCCGTGCTCGGGACGTGTGGAGATTTTCCACCAGGGTGCCTGGGGCACCGTGTGCGATGACTTGTGGGACCTCAATGAAGCCGAGGTTGTGTGCCGGCAGCTCGGTTGTGGGCAGGCTGTTTCTAGCCCTGGCGAGGCCTACTTTGGCCCAGGCTCAGGAGACATCTTCCTGGACAACCTCCAGTGCTCTGGGGTAGAGCACTACCTGGGCCAGTGTGCCCACTTGGGCTGGTCAGAACACAACTGTGGCCACCACGAGGATGCCGGTGTCATCTGCTCAGGTATCCTCTCTCCTCTCAGCCAGTGATTCCTGATGCTGCAATTGTGGCGTTTTGAAACTGCATCCTGGGTGGAATTTTCATCCATCCATCCATGTGTCTGCCTGTTTCTCAAGTGTCTCCTTTGGACACCACAAGAGTTGCACAGGAAAGGTCTCTAATTCATTGGCATGAGCACCAAATGGACATTACAATGCAGATTCTAGGGTCCTACCCCCAGAGATTATGACTAAGTAGGAAAGGGGCCCTAGAATATGCATCTTAACAAGTAGTCTAGGGATTCTGCATAAGAAGGGCCAACGGCAATCCAGCCCTGGCTGCTATGGGGCAGAGTTGACATAGCTGCTGTTCCCCAACCTTCTATGCTAAGGAATCTGCCAGAGGAGGGTTGAAGTTGCCCAAGGGGTAGTTCTGGCATTCTGGGTTCCTATACCTTGTCACCCCAAATAAAATAACCTCTTACCTTTTTTTATGCATTCAGATGCAGAAGACCTACCTCCAGCCACACCTCCAGGTATGTCCATATTTTTTTCTAATTCAGGCATCTTTCTAATAATAATAATAATAAATTATAGCAGCAAATACTTATAAGTGCTAGGAACCAGGCACTGTTCTGAGCCCTTCATATATATAACTCTTACAATCCCCACAAGAACCTCTTGAAGCAGGTTCTTGGGTTATTCATATATTCCAGATAACCTGAGACATAGAAAGTTAGCTGAGGTGCTGAGGACTAGCCAGGGTGTCTGAACCTAAGCTGCCATTGCTCTTGGCCATCAATCTCATTTACCCATCCATTGACCCAGCTACACAAAAACTAGGGAAAACTAGAGTAAACATGGGGAGATGTTTTGCTCAGGTCATTGCTAATCATAAGGACAATCATGAAAAAGCCATTATCCATTATGTTTTACAGAAGGGAAAATTGAGACACAGAATGGATAAGTAACTTTCTCAGAATCACTCAGCAAGTTAATGAGCCAAATTTTGACATTGATCATTCTGTCCCCAAAGTACATGCTCTTAGGGATCTTATGACTTTCACTCCTTTTCAAAGATCTTATCATTGAATTATTGACTAATATTCATCTGTAACAAAGACCAAAAATTAGGAAAACCAGACCAACCACAGACACTGTGATTTCTGAAATGATACTAAAGGTGATTTCACAGTTAAGGATTAGGGAGATCAAAAAACCTGCCGAAGATAACTTGATTAGAAAGTGTCGGGACTGGAATTTACAAGACCATCTCTCCCCATTTGAATGCACCTGGCTGATCCCTACACAGCCTCAGTGAACAGACAAGCTACTAGCCATTGGCAGAAGCATCTCTCTTGGGCACTTGCCTGGAGAAGACCTCGATGTGTCCTGATGTTCTTGGGGGAAGGCCAGCTTTACCTATTGGGATCATGAGTGAGAAGCGAGGGACTGTCTAAAGTTAAAGGGCCATGGTTGGAGTCAAGAGTGGTGGATATTACAGTGAAGACTCATCTGTAGTTTTCTCTTTTTATGTATGTCAGGGAAATAAGAAAAATGATATTGAGTGAAAGGAGCCATTCTGGTTATCTGTTGCTCCCCAATATTTAGCAATTTAAAGCAACCACCATTTAGATGTATGTCATGTCTTTGAGGGTCAGGAATTCAGGCAGCGCTCAGCTGGGAGACCCTTCTGCCCTATAGAGCATTAAGCAGTGTTGCTCAGTGGAGTTCATCTGGTGACTGGTCTGGAGAATTCAACACAGCTTCACTCACAGATTTGGTGCCTTGGTTGGGTCAGCTGGAAAGATGAGCTCAGCCAGAAGTCTGACTACCCTGCTGAGAGACCATGCACACTCAGACTTCTTTTTCGTGTTAGTTGTTTTCCTGGTTTATTGTATTTTTTATTATTATTATTATTTTTAGACAGAGTTTTGCTCTTTTGCCCAGGCTGGAGTGAAGTAGTACAATCTCAGCTCACTGCAACCTCCACTGCCCACCCCCCACCCTGGGTTCAAGCAATTCTCATGCCTCAGCCTCCAGAGTAGCTGGGATTATAGGCACCTGCCACCATACCTGGCTAATTTTTGTATCTTTCGTAGAGATGGGGTTTCACCATGTTGGCTAGGCTGGTCTCGAATTCCTGATCTCAGGTGATCCACTCGCCTTGGCTTCCCAAAGTGCTGTGATTACAGGTGACAGTCACCATGTCTGGTGACACTCAGACTTCTTGTAAGGTAGCTGAGGGCTGCATGAGCAAGCCAGTGTTCCCAGAGATGGGAGGTGGAAGCCACCAGTTTCTTAAGGTGTAGAGCCTCTCCTGCCATATTCTGTTGGCAAAGCAGTCACAGAACCCACCCAGGTTCAAGGAAGGAAACCTAGACCCCATCTTGTGACAGGAGGCATGTCTAGGAATTTGTGGCCTTCTCTAAACTGCCACAGAACCGTAGAAAATATTCACTCAGCACCTTCAGTGCAACCTCTCCTCTGTTTGCACCAAGTATATTGATGTTTCTGAGGAAACCCTTTATATTTCACTGACTTGTAGATAAGGCTAAATATTTTCACCTGGGTGTCATTATTTTCTCCCTTCATTCCCTTTCAGGTTCTTCTGCAGCTTCTCAGGATCACATAAAAGGTAGTCATTTATGTTAAATTAAAATGGTCATTCCATGCCAGGAGAACCATCATGGCAGATGCTGGGCAGTGTGCCCGGGACATAGCACAACAGAGCCTGGCATGGTGTGGGCAAGGGTTCTGTTTCTCTGATGCCACTCTGTGTAATAAACTCTGTAAAAAAATACTGACTTTACATACAACAAGAGGAGCAGGCTGGGAAGGGGGCTGTGTATCTGCCCAGACGTCGGGCCCATACTCAGCCTGTCGTCTCTGGGTATAGTCCTGCAGAAGGCAGCAGTTCATTATCCCATGCCATGTGTAGAGATTTCAGAAGGTCCAACTCCCCCAGGTTCCAGTGTCTGCCTGACCTGGCCTCATTACTGTATCTTACAAATGCGGTCAGTGATAAAACTACCAGATGAATAAAAACATCATCACTTATTTCAGTCCATCTCGGGAAAGACAAGGAATTTGTGAGATTCTGGGAGAATCATAAGTTGACCAAGGGGAACAGAAAGTAGAAAAATTAAGCAACTTCACAGTTTAGAGACAAGGTCAATAAAGCATATTGTGCTTTCAGATTTCCTCCAAAAATAATTTGATGATTCAAGGTTTTCTGCTTCTTCATGTGAAATCTTGTTTTAAATACATACATGTATGTGTATCTATCTATGATAATATGATAATGTATATGAAACTATTATATTTTGCTGTTATCTTGTTTAAGCCTTATAAATCCCAAATCCTGCAAGTTCCAGTCTCATACTAAATATATGAGTTAAAGAAAACATAGTCTACCCAGCAAAAGTGATGGAGAGTAAGGAAGGTGCCAGTCATAACATCCCCTAACAGATCAGTGTCCCTTTATCAGAACCCAAAGTTGTTCTAGAACCTCTTGCTCCCCAAACCTCCTCAAACTCTCCCCTTTCCCAGGCACATGTGGCCTCTGTTTCTTCATCTCTTCTTCTAGTCTCTTATTATTTAGATTTACTCTGTCCCTTCCCAGCAAACAAAACTCCTACTTTAGAGAAGTGGAGAAAAACTGTAAGCAGAAAGGACACATAGGACATTTTCTTTATCAGGTGCTGAGAGAGAGGGAAAAGCAAGGAACTTGCACACATGAATACTTTTTGCTTCATCTGAATTAGATTGAATGGACTCTCCTTCCCTAAGCTAGAGGTCTGTGCATGCCCACCCAGGCCAACTAACTGCATCCCAAATCCACCAGACCACTGTATGAGCTGGTCTTTTTTAGGATTACACAGTAATGCCAGATGGACACGTTCTAACACCATTTTTCCTGTTGTTTCAGGAGGAAGTAACCCTTGTGGAGGGGTCATTTCTAGATTCTCTGGCTCATTTTCTAGTCCACAGTATCCAGAAAACTACCCAACAGACATCCAATGTGTTTGGGAGATCCACGTGGATACAAAATTTTGCATAGAACTCATAATTCCAAGTTTGAAGTAAGAAAACTTTTAAAGAGAAGATTCTATGTACATAAGAACATTGATTTGTAAAATCAGACTAAAAGTATTTATTTTAGTGGGAAAAATTTAAGAGTGAAAGCAGAAGAGCCCAACATTCTGTAGTTTTTTCAAGTCAGATTTTGGGTTAATTTTGTAGCACTATCAAGTGAGTTACTTCTAAGTTGAAAAATTCAGTAAGTGGTTTGTTAACATATTTTGATACTGTTTCTTTTTATGTTTTTTCTAAAAATACCACAAAAATTCTCAACAGCTTTGCTCTTATTGTACACTGGTAACCAATGTTTGTCCTCTTAGACTTTCTTATTTGAATCCAAATTTTAAACAATAAGAAAATTGTCATACACACATTAGCCAACTACTCCAGCTTTGGGCCCTGTATCTTTTAAATGTTCTGCAAAGCAAGAGGAGACATTAGTGTCATTGCCTCATCTCTGACATAAAGAGAATAAATATTCCAAAGTCACTGACATTTTAATCTCCATGACATAAAATAACAGCTGATATTTTACTGCTGCCCCAGACTTTGTGTGCTTTGCCATACTCCAGGATTATACAGCCCAAAGATAGATGTCTTTGTCATCTCCATTAGAGATAAGGAGCCTGAGGCTCAAAGAGGATAACTAATTTGCCCAAGGCCAACCCATCTAGTCTGTGTGATGTCAATGCCCCACCTTTTCACCAACATGTGGGTCTGTAAAAGAGTCTGCATGAAACTCTTCTTCTTGTGTATGACACACGTCATGTTACAAACACAGCCGGACTGTGGAATTCCATGATCATTAGCTCCAGGCATGCACTGAATTGTGTTCCATCATGACTCTACCACAGCCATGGATTCAGAGATGTGCTAAGCCAGAAATGCCCCAGGACATGTTATCTTTGTTGACTAAAACCCTAGGGATACAATTAGCCACAATGAGGTAAGAACCTTGAACTCATACCTCCAAATTCTATTATGTTACCCATTGTCTGCTCCTTCAAAATCACTTCCCCTTGCCTCCCTCATGAGTAAGTGCCATACTACGAATAATCTTCTGTATCCTGCCTTGATTTTATTTTAAAATCAAGTTTGTTCCTGCCCAAGAATTTGAGTATGGCAAATATTGTGAAATATAGAAGTAGGAAAAATCTGACTGTGATGTCTGTTACATGCTGATCATTGGGGTGATCTGACTGTTATGAATTTAGTTGCAGTGTAAATAATATTTCCTAATGTCCTATGTAGATTGTGATTGGCCAAAACCATTATAATTTTAAAACTTCTATTAAGTGATTGTAGGTGAAAGCCCCACACATTCCTTAGCCAGAGAAAATAGAGTGGTGATAGATCATCTGAAAAAGTTAATTAATATTTTACATTTCAGTGTGCAATTTAAATATAATCCAAATATTTATTCTCTATGATTGTCACACTTTTTTTTAGCTTTAATATCTAGGAAGTTTCTAATCTGCCATTACCCCTCCATGTCTATTCATCCCAGGCTGGAAGATATCCTTGGATGTCCCTATGACTCTGTTGAAATCTTCGATGGCCCCAGGATTGCCTCACTCTCCATGGGGAAGTTCTGTGCCCCTGCAACTGTGATCTTCTTCTCCTCCTCACACATCATGACAGTGGTGTTCCAAAGTGATTCTATAATAACCAACACTGGCTTTTACGCTCTTTTTAACGCCATTCCTCAGGGTGAAAGGCAGTCAGGTAGGAAGCTTCAAGCATTTTTTGGTGGTTAAAAGACAGAACAGTTTCTAACTTCAGAGACTTCCTTACTAGTACAGGCCTGTGATTCAGTCTTTTAAAACCCTCACACTTGACTTCATTAACCCTGCTCCATAGCTGCTGGATTTTCCCACCATGAAGCCACATGGGAAGTTACAATGAGTCAGTCATGTGCATTCTGTGTGTGAGTGGCCAGGCTCTTACTGCCTGCAGGGAAAACCTGGGTGCTATAAAGGGTCTTAGGGCTGCATCTGCTATCTGCAGCCTCTTGGGAACTGTCCAGAGTGCTGAAATGTGGAAGTTCAACACTCCTGTGACAAGACTCCACTTCCTCCACCTGCTGGGCTGTTTTATACCTTGCATACATTGAAACCTAGTCTCATCCAAATGAGAGGCTTTGGGATTCCTGTTAGCCATGACCCTGCAGGCAGTCATTCCAGAGCCAGGTCCAATTTTCACCCTGCAAGCACACCGCCTGCTAACTATGAAACCTCTGATGCTGAGGAGCCCCTGCAGAAACCCCAGTAATTCTTTTAGGCCACCAGAAAACCAGGTAGTAAGTCCCTGGATATGGTTTGGGGTTTGCTTGTATCTGAGTAAGGGAATTCCTTGTATATTTCACCCTTGAAGGAATGTTTGAAACTCTGCCCTGGAGAAGCTAAGTAAGCTCCAACATTTGAAATCCAGACACTCATTAACTCAAAACCACCATTTATCTAATCAACAATAGTTACAGAGGTCCTGCTATGTACCAGGTCTGGCTGTAAGTGCGAGAGCACAGTTACGTGAGTTCCCTGCCCTCATGTTGTTTATATTCTAGTGTGGACTTCGGTAAGTAAAGAGGACCAAAACACAAGAAACAAGGAAGTAAACAAACTGGTTTTGGGGTAAGGATGATAAAGGACAGAGATGAGGGCCGGGTATAAGAGCCAGGTGGGAGAGTAGAGGGTGCCTGGAGTGGAGAAGGTACTACAATGGACTGGATGGAACAAATGGCATCTCTGAAGAGGTGGCATGTGATGAATGACAAAGAAAGTCATTCCAAGCAGAGGAAAGAGTTGGGCATGTTGGAACAGCAGAAAGAAGACCAGAGTGACAGAGCCAGTGGACACAGTAAGGGGAGGCTGTCCTTACAGTGTCTCCACATCAGATAACTCTAACTAGCCACAGACCTTCAGTCCAGATAGAACACTGCCACTGTGTTCTGTGAAGTCACAGTCACCCTTGTGGTCCAGGTGCCTTTCGGTGGATTAAATCTACCCTTATCCAAGACACATACGAAAAGGCAGCTGGGAACCTGCCCTCCCATAACCCAGCATTGTGACACAAAAACCACAAAGCAAGATCTGCAGTAACCCTGATGTGCTGGGTGCTGATTATACTCTCATTGGTAGCATACCCTCTAGATGCTGCTGGAGTCCCCATTTTACAGATGAGAAAACTGAGGCTCGGGGAGACAATGGCACTTATAAAAGTTTACACAACTAGGAAGCCATAGAACAAGGATTCAAATCCACTTCCTGTCTCACTCTGAAGCCCTTAAGCCTATTACGAAATCAGTTGGCTTTAAGGTTTTGCTCTCATGTTTGCCTTAGCCACAAACACAGAAGATAGAAATCACCTGCTACTTAAAAGTTACCAAACTCAAAAATAAAATATTGCTCTGTTTAGAAGGTAGACAAGAGTTGCGGCTGGTGGGTGGCTCCGGCCAGTGCTTAGGACACGTGAGGTCTTACACAAGGGCTCCTGGGGCACTGTGTGTGATGACCTGTGGGACCTGAATGAGGCTGAGGTTGTATGTTGGCAGCTTGGGTGTGGTCTGGCCATTGCTGCTCCTGGAAAGGCCCACTTTGTCCCAGACTCTGGAGACATCCTTCTAGACAACATCCGGTGTTCAGGAAGTGAGAACTATATTGGCCAGTGCCCCAGCTCTGGCTGGTCAGACCACAAGTGTGGCCATGATGAGGATGCTGGTGTCATCTGCCCAGGTAGCTTCCCCTTCCATGATAGATTCTTTCTGATCTTTCATCCAAACACATCCTACTGATGGATGAAGGCCATGCACAGAGTGGAGCCAGGGAATTTTAGGATAGTGACCCAACAGATGAATGTCCCTTCAGCCAGGTAGAGAGAGAATGCTGAGAGCCTGACTTCATTTTGAGGACAAACACAACAGGGCCACACAATTGGCTGCTCCTGTTCTCTGCTCCTCTCTCAGTTCTGGAGCTGCTTTTCCAGAGTTTAACCATGGCCTTGTTTTTGCTTATGTGACACGGGACCTGCCTGCTTGAGACTGCCCCGCACTAGAAAGCCACCATTTCTTTGTCTTCATAGAATGCAATTTAGATTTTTCTAATTTTTTCTTGTATGCATGCAGATGCTGGAGACTGGGCTCCAGTTGTGACTCCTGCACCCCCAGGTAGGTCCAACACTGAATTTCTACTATCTTGGCAAATTTAAAAAGAAATGTAACCTCTGTCCTGACCTAGACACTGGTAGACAATGACTAGGCTGGTGATTCCCAATTCTGGCTGCACACTAGAATCACTCAGAAAGCTTTTGAAATTTCTGGTTTCCAGGCTGCATCCCTGATCTGCCATATTACAGTCTCTGAGGTCACTCTCAGTCATCAGCAATATTTGTAGCTCCCCATGTGATTCCAATGTATAGCCAATGTTGAGAACTAGTGCTCAGGCAAGGAGCTAAGCAGCCACGTTTCCCAAATGGAATCATATCCAAAACTGTCTTCTGGTGGCAGAGAAAGGGACGGCAGGAGGAGAAAGATGGAGAAAGACTGAGTCACTATGGCTGAGAAGGTCAATAGGGAGAAGAGAGAAGGGGAAAGTTTTCCCTCTTAGGGATATGGTTAGAAAATGAAAGTATGCAGGAAAGAAAAGATACATTAAATGCCAGACTGTCTCCCAGTGGGTCAAGAGGAGACTGCTGATGAGAAGTAAACCATTTAGGGCTCTTCTGCAGGCCTCCTGGCTTAGCCAACACAGCAGAGTGGACTGGCAACCTACTCAAAGTCAATGTGCAACAGTGACCTTCTCCCAAACTCAAGATTTCGAAGCATGTGTGGTCCTGCCTCCTGCAGCCTCCTGCTTCCTGAGGACGAGTTCTCACCTGCCCCCTTCGCTGCTCCCTGGGCCCCTGGGCCCTGCCCAGCCTCTTCCCTGACCCTGCCCAGTGACTACTGCCACATTCTGCCCCCAGAAGGGGCCTGGACACCAGGAAGTTATTGGGGTTAGGGGTGTATTTTGTGGTGTTTAAGAGCCCAACAAGATAGCTGGCATCTGTCCCTGCCCTGGGCTGGCAGAACCATGGCACATTTGCTAGGATGTTCTGTGGAGGTCTCTTGCCCTTTCCAATCCAGGTCCCAACTACATCCCAAAATGGAGACCTCCATTCCTTGTGGGTTGCCTAGATGCCATGGGTTGGGGCAGTAACCTGTAAGAAGGGAAAGTGATTTCCCCATCCCTGGCCAGGGCCCCACATTTCCATTTTGCACTGAGACCCACAAATTATGTAGCTGCTCTGAAGGGGAGGCAGAACACGCAGAACTCTTTCTTGGGTCTAACAAGCAGCCATACTTTCTTTGATTCCCTCTGGCTTTCCTCTTTTTCCCCAGTAAGGAGTCTGTTCTGGCCTGAGCCCTGGGAGGAGGAAAAGACAGCAGGAGGACAGGGAATGGCTTTCGGTTCATCAACAGCTCTAGGCCCAAGTCCTCTTGGAGCCTGGGGCTTCAAACCTCAGAAAGCCTTTCTCTCTTCTCTGCTGTAATATTCATTTTCTGAGGCAGGGATGCATAGCTGGCTGGAAAAGAGAATGGGTCATGGAATTAAGGAAACTATGAAGGAAAATGCTACCACTTATGTCTAAATAGTATCCCATTGTAAGCACAAATCCAAAAAAGTGCTTATTGATAGAACATTGTATACCTACCAAGACACAAAAATATAAGGCTTTTGTCATTTAATGCTCTGAGATAAATATTGCATACCAATCATGTTAACAAAAGAAAATTGATTCTGAGCCACTTTAAGTTAGTGAAAAATGTATTCCCATGATATACTACACTTCTTCTGGCAAAGGACTAATGACAGGTAAGTTGACTGCATCCATCACCTTCACTGTTCTGCATCTTGCTGGGGTGTTGGCCCAGGAGCAAGACAATGGGGTTAAAGAAGTTCTCAAAGACATCTGACCTGTTTGCTTCAAATTCCTCCCACACCAAACTCTTGGTGTAAAACCCAAACAAATACCGGCACTCCCATGAGTAGGCTTTCATAGCTGCCCTCCCTTTAGCACCTGCCATGCAAGGGGGGATTGAGGACATACATAGAATATAGACATACTGCAGGCCTTCCGTCTCCATGATTCCACATCTGTGTATTCAACCAACTGTGGATCAAAAATATTCAAGAAGAAAAATCAATAGTTATGTCTGTATTGAACATGTGCAGACTTTTTTCTTGTCTTTATTCCCTGGACAATACAGTGTAACAGCCATTTATGTAGTGTTATAATACATTGTATTATGTATTATAAGTAATCCAGAGATGATTTAAAGTATACTGGAGGGTGAGCATAGGTTCTATGCAAATACTCCTATGTTTTATGTGAGACTTGAGCATCTGCGGATTTTGATATTCTTATGGAGTCTTGGAACCAATCCCCTCATGGATACTGAAGGAAAACTGTGTATGTCACATAGAAATCAAAGCCAAGAAGACACGATAAAGGAAAAAGAAGGGACCTTACATACTCATTGGAGCTCCCCATTAAGGTCCATCTTTCTCCAGTGGAATACATATCCAACCTGCCTTGCTCCACCCTGGCTCTCAGCTTTCTGATTTTTATTTTCCTGAATTTCAGCACTTGGTAAATTTCTACAGGCTTAGTGATATGGTCATAAGCCCAGTGATGTTACTGTTAATTTCTAGTAACTGGTCAACCCAAGAATAACCCTTGGGTTGTGGAACCTAGATATGAGAGAAAACAAGTCATGTAACTGTGTGTGGTTTGTGATTTCCTCATGAATCAGCTGAAAGAAGGACAGAGGCTTCATTCCAGATCAGGGAGAAATGAGTGTTTATACCACTTATTAAAACTCAAGGGTAATAACAGGCTCATTCATTTGTGGTTAAGTATAAGATGGTTTTAGAATGCTAAGCTCTCTCCTGATTTTCTTTGGTTTTGATGTTTGCAGCTACCATTCCTCCAGCCCCTATACCACAAGGTAACTCTTTCACTGAAAGTACAACCTATACAGTATTAGTTGCAGAGAATCATTTTGATAATTCATAAAAGCAGAATGAACTTCTGTGTGCCCTTGTTACCACAGGGGCAATGGGTGGGATGGAGCCCTCAAAATGGGTGGGTTGTCCACATCTGAGCTGAGCTGGTTTGCATGGCAGGAGACTGGAGGGAGCATTAAAGGAGTACAGGTGGCCCCCACTACACACATGCTACATTCATGTGTCCAATCCCATTTCCAGTATCACTCGCAATCAATTATAGGATCCTGCCTGTGGATGACAGCATGCATGTTCCATCCTCCCTCATTCCCTCTCAGTGGCACAATCACTCATACCAGCCAAGCCACAACTGTGTCTACACCAGCATGATCCCTTCCCATTTAGTGACTTCACTGTTGAGCTTGATGGAATTCTGGATTCCATATCTGGAAAAATGCAACATGTGTGCCTAAAGAAACCAACCATGGGTCTCTCATCTGTTTTTTCAGGAGGAAGTAACTCTTGTGGAGGAGTAATCTCAAGTCTGTCAGGTTCCTTCTCCAGCCCTTGGTACCCTATAAACTACCCCACCAATGTGGAGTGTGTCTGGGTGATACACGTGGCTGAGAAATTCCACATAGAACTGATGATCCCAAGCCTGAAGTAAGCAACTTTTTCTTTCTCTACTGTTAAGGCCAGTTTAGATTTGAATCCATTCTTTCCTCAATGAGGTGGGCTTTTGTAGGATAAATCCTTTCACATTTTAGGAGAGAATTGCTCTGATTATCTGAGCTATGGGGAGTCTTTTAATCACTTAGCTCAACTTCCTGTGCATTGAGAGAACACCCCATGGGCCTCCCTGACACCAGGCCGTTGAGCTGCAGCTTGGACAACCCACACATGAAGACCTCACCCCTTCACTCTTAACCAGTTCCATTTGAGACCCAGGCTTCCTCCTCCATCTGAACTCAGATCTGTTCTTCCTCATCCTCATGGTCTGATCTTCATTCTTCCCTCTGATGCTACACAAATCTGCTTCCTATTCTCTTCAAGAATTTCTATCATATCCTTACTAAGAGTTTTCTTATATAGATTAAACAGTTCATTCATTCCTCCCATCATGCACCTTGTGCCTCCTACTTCTTTTTCCAACCATCACTCATTTTTAAGGAATTTATTCTATTTTAATATATATTTATATGCATGTAGGTATACAGACACACACACACATTTTCACATATACATATATATATATATATATATATATGAATAACATTTTAACAAAAATATTACTTTTCCTGATAACGTTTAACCCTGGTTTCATCTTGCTATCCTGGGTTGCACCTGGGTCATTCTCTCTTCCTGACTTTGTCCCACAGTACGGCCCAGACCTCTGCTACTGCTTTCCATCTGTCATCATTGGCCACAGCAGTTGAGGCTCTGAATGGTTAAATGCTGCTTTTAAAAATGTAAAATGGTACTCAGTGGAGGAGGGGCTTTACTTGGTGGCTACATAATTTGTGATAGAAAGGACAGAAGCTAATGTCAGGGAGCATAAATACATTTATCATTCATGCATTCAACATACATTTATTCCTTCATTCAACATACATTTATTTGTCAAAAGCAATGTGAGAAGAGTTGGTACCATGTATTTCAAATCTATGAAATTCACAGTTCTAACGTTTCAGGGCACAGTTTCATTTGATCACTTCTGGGAAATGGTTATTCCAAAAAGTTGTAACAGCCCATGTCCCCTGTAATGTCAAAGTTATTATTCTAACATAAGTTTCGTACTATAATTTTGGAGTACACAAATTAAGGAGCTGTTTAAAGTGTTGCCCAAAGCCAGACCATACAGGCTGATTTCTGAATTTTGATGTTAAAAGTCTAGATTTATTAAAATTTGCTTTTTTTTTCTCAGAACATAAAGTTATTATTTACACTAGCGGTTCTCAACTGGAAGTGATTATATACCCCTATGAGACATTTGGTTAGGTCTTGAGACATTTTTTATTGTTCCAATTGGGGGGCACCACTGCCATCAAGTGGGTGGAGGCTGGGGATGCAGCTAAGTGTCCTGCAGTGCACAAGACAGCTCCCCCAACTCCCTGTCCAGAAAAGAGTTATCCAGGACCAAATATCAATAGTGCTGAGATTGAGAAACTCTGATTTACACTGATGCTTTCTTTTTTTATATATAATTCAGCACCTACAGGACTTTGCTTCCCCCTCAATTTGTAAAAATTATATCTATATTTAAAGTATTAGGCAGGAGCGAAAGTAACTGCAGTCTTTGACATTACTGTTAACACTGTTTCATTCTTGCTAATTAAAGCATATTCTGTTTTCTGATGAAATGATTTATCAGGTTGCAGTGTCATCTGTTATTGCAACAGTATTGTCACCTTACACACAAATTCAGTCACTTACTTTAAAAAAATAAAAATGGGTTATTTTGAGGCACTTGGCTTTCACTTCACTGGAACAGATGTGTTCTGCAATAAGCAGGTTTTCAAATCCCGTATTTAGTTCGTATACACCTGTAATTATGTCTATCTTGTATATATTATGCAATGAGAATTCATCATGTAGGCATCAAAGGCTACTTACTATTGTTTAAATGCAAATATGTATATCTCATACTTTTATCATATTGGATAAGTGTTGATGTTCTTTCACCATATGTTTATTGAGCCTCCGCTCAATTTATTGAGCAGGTCCTAGACTAGAAATAGGCTCATAGTGCCAGCCAAGACAGACAAGATCTCTAGCCTCACAGAGTTTATATTCTAGATGAGGAGACAAATGGTACTCAAATCAACCAATACCTCAGTGGACAATTTCAACTAGTGATAAGTTGAAAAATTCTATGAGGAAAAAAGATACCATCACAATAATGGGATAGAAAACAAAGAAGGAGAAGACAGCAGTAGGTGGGATGGCCAGGGTCAGCTTCTCTGATCATCCAGGTTGGATGAAACATGTTATAAAACACTTGGTTTGAACAGGGCAGGTCAGGGCATTGGTGGGAGGAGTCAATAGACCCTTGGAGCTCTTACAGCTGTCACCATTTCTCCCTGCTCTGGGTCTTCTGGAGAATTTTACCCAGTGAGACATTGTTAGACTTTTGCCATCACCCCCAAAGAGTGGTGATATTTGAATTAAAGAGTTGGGGGACATTCAGGAGACACTTGGTAGAGAGAAAGAGGGAAGGAGAGACTGAAAGTCAGAATCGCAGGTGGAAAGCTACTGAAATAGACTAGGTGGAAAATGAGAGCCCACCAGACCTGGGACAGTCCCAGCAGGAAAGGACAGGAGGGTGGATTCAGTAGGTCAAATGATGAGTGGGGGGGTATAGCAGTGATGACTGCAGTTTCTGGCTGGATGCTATGCAAATGATGACTCCATCTAAATCATTTTGCCGATTTCCTTGGAGATGTTAACTTTGCCTTCATGTCCTCAGATTAGAGGACATCTATGGGTGTCCTTACGACTTTATTGAACTGTTCGATGGACCACAGGCTGCCTCACTGTCCATGGGCCGGTTTTGTGCTGGGGCAGAGCTCTCGTTTCTCTCTTCTTCAAACATCATGACTGCAGTGTTCAGAAGTGACCCCATCATCACCAACACAGGGTTTTATGCTCTGTACAACACAGTTCAGCAAGATGAAAGGGAGAGCGGTAGGTACCCTAACACACACACCTTGGGAGTTAGGTCTGATTTATGCTATTGCTCTTTAAAAAAGAAGATGCTTTCTAAATCTGACCTTCATTAATGACATCTGGAGTGACATCCATGCAGACACTAAAAGCCCCCAACCTCACTCTCACCCCTCTCTGCTACTCTCTGTCACTTTTCTCAAGCAAAGCATCCTGGCCGAAGAAACAGATGGCCTGAAATCACATAGTTTGCATTGACTGTGTGTGTAGATGGATCCATAAGAAAGCCTCCTTCTGCAAAGAAGTAAAGGAAAATGCAATAGAAAAATCATTCTGGCACAAAACTATCTCAACTAGCCACCTGCTTCAAGCTGAATTTAATATGAAAACCATCTAGAACACTTAGAGAGCTCTTAGGTTCTGCAGCAGGAACTGAGGAACACTTTGAAGTTCCCAATGGCTTATGCTTAGGGTGACCATGTAATTTATCCTCCACCTGGAATACTTTTGACAGCTTAAGAAGAACTCTAAGATAATTAACAGGTATTAACTGATCTATGACATTCATAAACAAGGACTATTCCAGGCAAATCAGAACCCAGGGCCACCCTGCCTAGAGCCCAACAGCCTAATACAGGAATAGGTGTCTGAGTGCTAGATAACATTTTCTATTTGCAGAAGTCCTAGAGTCTGGAGACATTACCACAGTTCAGAAGGCCCCATTTGCTTTTCCCCCAGGTATGTCCCTGCGATTGGTGAATGGCAGCCACAGGTGTGAGGGCCGGGTGGAGGTCTCCTACAATGGCACCTGGGGCACGGTGTGTGATGACAGCTGGGACCTGACGGATGCCAGGGTGGTGTGCCAGCAACTCGGCTGTGGTGAGGCCCTGTCAGCCCTGTCTCAGAGCTACTTTGATGGTGGCACTGGCCACATCATTCTGGATGACGTGCAGTGCACAGGAAGTGAAGCCAAGGTGTGGCAATGCATGCACAAAGGGTGGTTCTCCCATAACTGCGGACACCACGAAGATGCTAGCGTCATCTGCTCAGGTGAGCACCTGGGGGCACAAAGCAACCAGGGAGAGAGTCTCCCCACCAGCCATCTCTGGGAAGGGAGATGTCAACAGCAGCAGGCAGTAACTCAGAAATGAGCCCTGGGCTTCAATCCAACTGCTTAGGTAAATTTGCTTAAGAGTTAGTGTTCTTTCACTTAAAGTGTTGCACCTGTTCGAGATCCCACCTGAAAAGTTGTAATTAAATAGAGGGTTTGCCATCAGCCATCCTATTCCAGCAATGATAAGCCGTGGTGCTGGTGACAACCAGCACCTGACTGCGAAGAGTAGCTGATGTACAAGTGCTGAACCCATGCCAGGCTCTATGCTAAAACTGGTGCATTCTTATTCTCATTTAATCTCTACCACTACTAATAAAGTAGACTATTAGCATCCTTATTGTACTGATGCAGCCACAAAGGCATATCCAAGATCACACACAGGTCCGGACTATGTAAGTATCACACCTCCTCGAGGTACTGTGTTAAAGACAACTCAGCTCTGTGTCTAAAGCTCAATCAGCCCAATAACTGACCAAAGCAAATAAATACCAGGTTTCACTTGCACCATCATGAGACTGAAGAGGAAAGTATGCTACCTTCCCCCGTGGGCACTGCTATAGGCTGCCAATCTTGTAACCAACATTGATGGGTTTTGATACTACATTCCCAACTGCCCAGAAAAGAACATGTTTGATCCTGAAAAAAGAACCCAATATTTGTATGAGTTATGTAACCGCCTTACTCAATCCATCTCTCATTCTTTCTTCCGTCTTTGGATAGGTGTTGATGGCAAACCAAACGTAGAACGAACAGGTATGGCTTTTCTATACAGTTCTACCTGTTGCCAGGTCCCTCACGTGGTGAATCCTGGTGACACTTACATCCTGAGGTTGGGACCCCATCCAGTTAAATTCTCTGTTGCTAAATAAAAAGAGCAATGCAGCCCAGTAGAGCTGACAAAATGGTGAGGCCATGGGACAGTCGAGGACAACGGAATGGTAGGAGGGAGGGAGAGTTCAGATTCAACAGGAATGCAATCCCTGGTCATTCAGTATCTGCTGTGAGGAGAGGGGTAACTGCTTGTAGGGATGTTTACACTGTAGGATGCTGGAGGGAAAAAAAAGACATCCCAGGTCAGCCCTCAACAAGTTTATCTAATGACACTCATCCATGCATGGAGTGTGCAAGTGTCTGAACCCTGGAGGAGCCAGAGGCATCTCTGTCCCTTGAGCCACAGAGAAATCACAGCTTTATAGTGTCAGTGTTTCTGAGTATTTTCAAGGAACATTCTGGATAAAAGTCCTTGCTCACAGTGTCACATTTCTCACCAAATCCAGTATTTCCGCTGTAAATTGGATATCTTAAGCTATTTTGGTGTTGATTTCAGCTGAGATTTGCATACAGTACAACCAGGAGTTTTCTAACACCAGCTGTTTTATAACATGTGATGCTGAGAAAGGGTGCTGTGGTCTCATTGTCTTTGCTCCTTTATCATTGACACTACAAGCTTAGATCTATTGGGCACATAGATTCACAGAGCCCTTTCAACCATATGTCGTATCACTTGCTCCTCACGAAAACACATTTGACCATCTTCATTGCCCACAGGACAGCACTGGGAGCTCAGGGTACTCTCTGAAGTCAACCTTTCCAGCTATCAGCCAAAACAGCCCCTAGAACAAGTCTTCCTTACCTCTGTCCTCACTCTGTCCCCTCTTGAACCCCCTGAAAACACAGGCAGCAGTAAATGCCCACTTTTGATGGGTTTTCTTCACTGTTTGTTACAGATGAAAATTTCCACTGTGGCGGTTTGCTCACAAATAATTCAGGCTCCTTCTCCAGTCCTTGGTATCCTAAAAATTACCCCACAAATGTGGTGTGCACTTGGGACATAGAAGCAGATGTTGGGGCTCATGTGAGACTTACGTTTGAAGTGGTGAAGTGAGTAAATATTTCCTACCTTTGCTTTCCTCTTGATTCAGTTATGCACTCCAGTTTTACTACCTCCCTCCCCTTTCCTTCCTAAAAAAAAAAAAATCCATATTTAATTTTCAAAAGTGCACTAGGCCTTGAGGGCCCATTTTGTAATATTGAATAAAACTTTAAATGCACAGATCTTTTCACCCAGCAATTCCAGTTCCAGGAATTTGGTCTACAGATAAAGTCTCATGTGCACTGAGGATAATCATGGCACATTCTTATGGTAGCAATAGATTGGCAACAGTCTAATTGTCCATCCATAGGGAATTAGTCAAACAGATTTTAGTACATCCACATATTGCTGTACACTCACAGTATGTATTGCTGTGGAATGAGCTGTAAGGAAGCCGTTTGTGCATAGGCTATTTCTGGAAGGAATACACAGAAACCATTCACTGAAGCTGCTTGTAGGAAGGGGAGTGAAGTAAGAGGGGACCAGTAGTTAAAGCTGGAAGAACATTTTACTTTTTACCATATGCCTATCAATACCACTTAAATTCTATCCCACATGTTTATAATACATATTCAGAAAATACCATCGAAGTAAAACTTTAAACATTAAAAGATTTTTAGAAATAGGAGGATACTTACTACCCACATCAATAGGGTCATTATCTCCTGCAACCTGTTTGAAGAGATGTAGGTTTCAGAAAGTTTTTCCTGATCACTTCCTGAACCAATCCGGGCAGTGCTTACTGGGAAGAAAGCCCCAGTGGACCGATTCTGAATGATACTGTTTTACTTCACAGAATGGAAGATTTCTATGGTTGTCCATACGACTTCGTTGAAATCTTTGATGGCCCACAAAGTGAACCTTTTTTGCTAGGGAGATTCTGTTCCAGGAAGATCCCAATATTTACCTCCTCCTACAACCACATGTCAGTGGTATTCCATAGCAATGCTATCATCACCAACATCGGCTTCTATGCATCTTATGAGTCTCTTGTGCAAGATGAAAATGATATCGGTAAGTCCTGAAATCATTTCAGCCCTCGGCCCTCTGTGGTGATGATGGCGAAGCTGAACAGCTGCCTCAGTCAGCTGGGCACTAGGGATTTGAAAGGGGTTTCCCAAGCTTCTTAGTTTATTTCCAGGATAAGGCTTGGAGAAGCTGATAGAACACACAGCACTGCCCTACAATAACACATCACGTGCATCTTTGGATGACAGAGGTACTTCACACTATGCTGAGAAAGACACTGGACCTACCCTGTCTTGGAGGCTGTTTTATTCAAAACCATGTGCCACTTCCTTTCACCTGGTCTAAAGAACATTATTCTACACTAAGAGCAGCCACAGTGTTTGCATGCTTGGTGATTTTCACTTTACACAAGACTTCAGGGGCTCTCTTTGGCCTCTATGAAGTAGAAAATCTGGTCGGGGGAAAAGGCTTTTAAAAACACCCCACACACAGGCAAAAAAAAAAAAAAAATCACCATGGTGTGAGAGGTCAAACCTGAAGCACCTTTGCAGCCAGCTTTAACCAGCAATGGTTCCCTCCCCAAGAAGGAGGGGGAGCCCTCAAAGCTTGACAGCTCTAAGGAAATGCCCACATTCCTCTGCAACACAGCAGCAAAGGGGAAGCCCTTGGGTGGTGACCGGCCTGTCTGTCTTTCCCAGATGTGGCTCTCAGGCTGACCAACGGCAGCCACCCATGCGAGGGCCGTGTGGAGCTGCACTACCACGGCAGCTGGGGCACAGTGTGTGACGATAGCTAGGACCTGCGTGATGCCCAGGTGGTGTGCAGGCAGCTGGACTGCGGCGAGGCGGTAGCAGCCCTGGGGCAGGCACATTTCTCAAGAGGCCAGGGCCCCATTGCTCTGGATGATGTTGGGTGCATGGGGACAGAAACCAGGCTGTGGCAGTGCCTACACAGCGACTGGCTCACCCACAACTGTGGTCACCATGAGGATGCCAGCGTCATCTGCTCAGGTGGGCCCTGATTCTGAGCTAATGATGTTCCCTCTGTCTCCATGAGCCTCCGCCTCACTGTACTCAGAGCCATGGGGAAATCCCAGACAGTCCCCAAGCCACTATTCCCCAAGCAGCGGCCACTCAGGTCCCCTGCATGATCCCAGCCATTACCCACCTATGGCTCTCACTGTATTTTCTTAATACTTTCTCTTAACTTGACTCTTCATTTTTTACTTAAGTGAATTCGCTTTACAAGGGAATTTGATATCACACCATAAATGGAGAACTAGGACCACTTGCCACACCTAGGAGTTTAACAAACAGTGAACATATAACAATGTTTAAAATGTCCAAAAATTAAACAGTGAACATTCTAATCTAATCAATTCACACCCATGCATATCTGAAAATATCCTTGACCAGAGTGAAATTAAATGTGAACTTCTAGATTTTAACACAATAAATATGCAACTATTAAAACAGAAGATACTGCACCTCAAACTAACTCATATCCCACCAATGATGAGTTACACCTTTGGGAACCATCTTTTTGGTTGGATCCCTTCATTTTAAGGTCAACCTTGAGAACTTTCCTAATGGCTGGGAGCCCAGGTTCTAGCCCAGAGCTCTTATTCCTCAGTTTTATTTTGATTGACTTTTGGCAAATAAATTCAGTAGTTGGAGTCAAAAATTCCCACCTATCTCTGCATCCTTATGGGTTTGGCCGGGAAGAGGAAAACTGACTTATCATCTAGACCTGGCAGCATCCTCCTGAGATAGGATGAAGGAGCAAGAAGCAAGTGACGTTACTGGAACATTCTGAGCAGAAGAGGTCAAGGGACAGAATCAATGCTCTGAGCAAAATAGAAGCTGGTGCCGCATGCCAAGTGACATCAGAGGACAGGGCTGGGGCTATAAGGGCCATGGGGTTTGGAACCAGGACCTTGGGCAGATTATGGGAATGGGTCATAGGTGCCTGGATGGACCACCAAGCAGAAGCTCTGAGCTTTTTTTCTTCCTAGCCCTGAGCTCCTGGCCCAGCTCCACAGCCCATTCAGGGGCCTTTTGGCTCCCTCCCTGCACTGAGGTCACTGGCGTATGTCCTTGAGATAAATGCGGTTCTACCCTTTATGAGCTGACACTTACTCCCAGGCAAGACTCACACATACACCCAGGAAGAATTACAAAACCAAACTGACTAGCAAAACAAATGCTCCACACCAGGGGCCATCCCTGGAGCCCCAGTTTGCTAAAAATGAAAAAGGTAGGAAGGAAGGGAGGGAAGAGGAGAGAAGGGAAGTGAAGAAAAAGGGAAGGGAGGGGGCGGGAGGGGAGGAGAGGAAAGGAAAGGGAGGAAGGGAAGGAGTGGGAGAGAAGAAGGGAAGGAAGGAAGGAGAGAGAGGGGGAGGAAGAGAGAGAGGTAAAAGGAGAAGAAAGAAAGAACAAGAAGGATGAAGGGAAGGAGATGACGTCGCAGCGTCTGGCAACAGGACAGACACAAACTCGGTGATCCAGGACATCTGGTGGCTGTAACCAAAGTAACTCAGGGCCATTTTTAGATGCCAGATTGTATGCAGTTTCTCCCCAAAACAAGACGTGGTACCTTTCTGACTGAAGTAAGCAAGCCTACCTCTCTTTCAGGTTTAGGTGGACTGAAGGGAGATGAGCTCCCCATGCTGTCTATGCCTTCCACTGCCTCTCTGCCTTACCTAGCAGCATCTGCTGCTGTGAGTTACCCAACCTCAGATAATTTTGGTTGTTTTGAATTGATGAGCTGTAACTTGCCCTAGCAAAGCCCCCCTAAGCAGTAGAGTAGTTACTTAGGATCCAAATGCCCTAGGCTTATCTTCCCAACCTCTTCATTTACTGGCTGTGAGGCCTCTAACAAATCTCTGAGTTGCTTCCTGCCTCCATTTTCTCCTCTGGATGAGGATGAGGAAATCCAGGGGATTTCACTTTGTGAATATCCAGTCCAGGGCTTGCCCTGCAGTGGGCGGGGCATATGACGTCAGACACTCTCTCTGACCCTCACCTGGTCCAAGGTCAGAGCCCGGCAGGGGTTTATCTCTGGGTACTGCCCTCTATTTGACAGAATTGTTAAGAATGGAAAAGCTGAAAACATCACATTATAGTTTGCTCCCAGCTCTATTTGGCCAGTGGTCTTTACAGTTCCAGCTCAATTCAGCCAGCAGCTCTTCCAGGACAGGTCCTTAGAAGAGTAAAGTACAACATGCAGAGAGAAGCCGGGAAAGAGAGAAATTACACCAAGCATTTAGAAGCAGCACCAGGTAGCTTATACTGAACAACAGAGGTCCCCAAAGGATGCTTTTTTGAATTTAAAATATATCTATAGGCCAGGCACGGTCATTCACGCCTGTAATTCCAGCACGTT